GGGGTTGTTCAGCGTGGAGAAGAGAAGGCTCTGGGGAGACTTACTGTGGCCTCTCAGTACTTAAAGGGGGCTTATAGGAAAGATGAGGGTTTTTAGCAGGGTTTGTTGTGATAGGACAAGGGGTAATTGTTTTAAACAAAAAGAGGGTAGATTCAGACTAGATATAAGGAAGAAATTTGTTATGATGAGGTTGGTGAGGCACTGGAGAGAGGTGGTAGATGAGCACCACAGAGAGGTGGTAGTTGGCACATCCCTGGAAACATTCAAGATCAAGATCAGATTGAATTGGGCTCTGAGCAACTGGATCTAGTTGATCTGCTTATTGTAGGTGGGGCTGGACTAGATGACCTTTAAAGGCTCCTTCCAACTCAGGCTATTCTATGATTCTATGTTCTTTTTCATTAAACTATCTCAGCTTGAGATTGTAGCATTGTTTTATTCCCCAACTACTGTCTTCCTAACTCAGGGAAGTGAGGTTTTAAACTTTACAAGAGACTTTCTTGCTCTTTGAGCAGACCTGTGTCTGGGATGTCTTCCAGGGAATTCCTGAGAGCTGTTTCTTCCAGCTGGTCCTGGCTGCATTTTGCCCATGCAAGACAGTGCAGAAAATGTGATGGCTCTCTGCCTGTATGAATGGCAAGTGGGAAGGGAATGAGAACACATAAGGGCTGCAGAGACACACACTTATTCTCTGTTCAGCACAATTTTCCTAGGTAAATATGTACTAGTGGAGCTGTGGAAGATACAGCTGGGTATCTACTAGCAAGACAGACCACAATCCTGTAGTTAGAAGTGGGCCAAGAAGAACTGCAAGTGTCTCCTTGCAATAACTGTGCTGTATGTGATATAGTAGCTGTGCTATTATTTAGAATCATAGAATTGTCCAGGCTGGAAGGGACCTCCAAAGGCCATCTAGTCCGACCTCCCCGCAGTCAGCAGGGACACCCCCAACTAGACCAGGTTGCCCAGGGCCTCATCGAGCCTCACCTTGAATATCTCCAGGGATGGGACCTCAACCACCTCCCTGGGCAACATGTTCCAGTGCTCCACCACCCTCACAGTGAAGAACCCTCTCCTAATCTCCAATCTAAATCTGCTCCCCTCCAGCTTAAAGCCATTGCCCCTCGTCCTGTCACTGCAGGCCTTTGTAAACAGGCTCTCCCCAGCCTTCCTGTAGGCCCCCTTCAGGTACTGGAAGGCTGCTATTAGGTCCCCCCAGAGCCACCTCTTCTCTAGGCGGAACAACCCCAGCTCCCTCAGCCTGTCCTCGTAGCAGAGGTGCTCCAACCCCCTGATCACCCTTGTGGCCCTCCTCTGGACCTGCTTCATCAGGTCCATATCTTTCCTATATTGAGGGCTCCAGCCCTGCACACAATACTCCAGGCGAGGTCTCACCAGAGCAAAGTGGAAGAATCACCTCTCTGGACCTGCTGGCAACACATCTTTTGATGCAGCCCAGGATGTGATTGGCCTTCTGGGCTGCAAACTTACTGTTTTAGAGGATGCCATTTTCTTTGTGCTGGAAGGGCTCAAAGTACTGCACCACCACCAGTGTGTGTCATAAATACTGGGCAGTGCATGCTCTCTTCATGGCATCTCCCATTTCCAGAATCAGCCTTCTGCAACTGCTCTCTCTTCTTAAAATCTATTTGCACACACAGCAAATTGCCTTCCTGATAAGGTCAATTCTTCAAGGACCAGGGCAGGAGTAAAAGGGTTTTTTCAAGGAAGCGCAGGGGATTGTCACTGGTACGGAGACAGGACATTTCCTGTCTGTATTTGTTGTGCTTTTCTCAGAGAGCTAAATCCTGTTGTCCTTATTTGGTCCTTACATACTCAAAGTCTTCATTAACATCAAGAGTAGGATTTACTTAACTTTTGCCAGTTTTTTAGCAAAGGGTTAGCTTAAGCTGTATTACCAGAAAGAGATGTTGTAGGAGTTCTTCAGCATAAAGCATAGGTGGATTTTATAATTTTCTGTGGCTTTTTTTTCCACAATCTGGGGGAGCAACTCACCAAAAGTCAGTCAAGAAAGCCTTCCTATCACCTCAGAGGCCTTAGGGTGACTTTAAAATGCCAGTCCTGCTAGATTCTGAGTTGAACGAGTGGTGAAGAAGTCAGTTGCCTTCAAGTCATGTGCTCCTGGGGTGCTTTTCTATTTTTTTTTTTAAATACACCTAAAGCATAGCTTTCCCTTATGCAAAACTTTCAATTGGATATATCTTAATTTCTGCTTGTAATATATGCCAGCTGTGAAACCTTAGCTACCGCGTCATCCTTGGCATATGTTTCCATACTTATGCATAGATATACTACTCCCTTTTATACACAGAATGACCACGTAGTGCTTCTCCAGGAAGGCATGAAACTCCATCTGTGCTCTGCCTGCCTCAGACATATCTGGGCTACTCTGCAGTGTCTAATATGACAAAAAATTACCTATATTTAGAAAATCAATAAGAACAATATCCATGCACCAGTGGCTAGATTTTGATTCATCTGGAGTAATCACAAGAGCAAATAAGCAGTACGCTGAAGCTATGCTTGTTCTATGCCTTGATTACATTGTTTGTATCACTACAAAGAAAACTGAGAAATATGCAGCAAATTCCCTGAATCTGATATGATATTGATTTGCTATGTTTTGCATAGGGATCAAAGGCAGCATGAAAACTAGTCCTCAAAACTCAGGCTTCTCCTGCTTTCTCTCAGTGTATTAAAAGGTTGAGGTGCAGGGCGGGGTGGGGAAAGGGAAGCAGAAGGAGGTGTTATTTTCAACTTTCATTCTGTGTTGGTACTCAGAAGAACACAGAAATATTAGAGGAATGGTACTGGAGCCCTGGACGAACAGCCATCCTCTGAAGGATTACAGCAAATTTTATTGGAAATGCAGCTGCAGCTCTGTGTCCTGTGGATGCTAGGCAGAAACATCAAAGTATTTCAGTTCTGAGCTGCAGCACCCTGCCTGACCTTAACACAGATAATCATGTCAAGTCATGGAGTTTGGATCCAGATTTGGTTCTGAGTTTCACAAAAATTTGCAGAAATCAGGATCTTGCAATTCCAGATTTTAAGAATATCCCTACCTGGAACGTGATCCTTGCAGATATAAACTGAAGCCCTCTGCGTTCAGTGTTGGTGACTGTTAAATTACATCTGCCTTCAGCCAGTCCCTTAGACCCATAGTAAGAGCAGAAATCACAGAATCCTCATGGTTGGATGGGACCTTTGAGATCATTGAGTCCAACCACGCCAAAAAAAAAAAAAAAAAAAAGAAGCCCAGGCAAACAAAACACAAACAGACACAAACCAACAATCTTGGGCACTAGAGCATGCCCTGAAGTGCCATGTCTATACGTTTCTTAAATACCTTAAAATAGGTGGTGACCCCAGCACCTCCCTGGGCAGGCAGTTCTGGTGCCTGACCACCCTCTCAGTAAAGTAATTCTTCCTAAGATCTAACCTAAACCTCCCCTGCTGCAACTTCAGACCATTAATTCAGACCCAAATGTTGCAATTAGTGCCCTGTAAAATGAATGAAGGAGTCTGGCCTCATTTCTATCACATATACTTCTTCAACTTTGTTCAAAGGATTTATTTTTATAATGTGCAGCAGGATGCACTGACTTCGCTGACCTGCGCCTCTATGTAATATTTACTTTAATGGCCGCTGCATCCTTTCCAGGAGGTTTCATTTCTCCATTGTGTAAGTGCAAGTTATCTGTGCTGGCACATTAAAGGGTGGTGATGGTGGCAGACTGGCTGGGTGTGGTGAGTGTCAGTGGGCTGTCAAGATACTTGTGTCCCCAGAGTGGTTGCTGGCAGGGAGAGCAGAGGAGGACCTCCTCCCTTGGCCCCGAGCGCCGCAGGGACACACGCAAAGGCTCCAGTCAGCACAAAGACCTTTTGACCTCCCTTATCTAAGACTATACCCCTTCCTTCCAATCAGAAAAACATTTGGAAGCTGAGTAGCGCTGCTAAATATTGGGTCTCTCTGTGCAAATACAAAATATTCTTGTATCCAAAGCAGGAAAATAGATGTGATGAATAAAAGAAACCGATTATTCTTCCTGTTTCAGATGGAAAAAATGTTACTGTTTCCCTTCTCCTTACCCTGAATTTCAGAAGTGAAGGGAAACGCCTGTTATTTGCAAATTTTTGATTATAGGAGAGCTGTATTTCCCTCCTGCTATGTGCATTTGAACAAATAAATCTGTAGCACTCTGCCAGACTGTTTTAATTAGGCGTCTATCTGTCATTTTCAAAGAGCTTCAATCTCCATGTATTTCTATCTGTTCTGTTGATCAAAGGGAGCCAATTCAATTGATTTAAACCTAACCTCATAAAAAATGGCTTTACTAGTGCAAACAGCTTGTTCTTTGTTTTTTTTGAGAAAGTTTCTTTGTGCCATGGTTCTTGCTGCTGTCTGTTAGGGCTTGGAATGGTTAACATGAAATTATTATGAAATCATTAATCCAAATTCATAAAACAGCTGGAAAAAATACTGCAAGTGTTCAAAGTACTACCAGTTCTTATAACTGAAAGATATATCTACTTTATTCATACATATTAAATCCTTGTAAAGGATATAAAAACTTCACTATTTAACTGACAGCCTTATAATCTACCAACCCTTTTACCAGTAAAGCACCATACTTGAGACACATGTACATGTCTAACTATCCAAGATCTGTCTGCTTCTGCAGCCCATGGTTTTCCCTGGGCTTCTGCAACAGCTTTTGAAAGAAATTCCACAAGTTTGTGAGACTCATTTCCTCTTCTGAGAAGAACGGATTCCATCTGTTCATGACATAAAAAGCAAATCCTGAAGTCAGGATAGCAGAATAGTCAATCTACAGCCTTCCTATTTTGCACAAAGCTGTACAAGGCACCAGGCAGAGAAGCCCTGAGTGCTGGGTGGAACAGCTTTACAGTGATTTTACTGGACACATACTCAAACTCTGCAGTAAAGTTTTTTCACTTCCTGCTTTTTTCCTTAGGTAAAGTGGAAGCGGCACTGGACCTCATACTGATCAATTCATTCCCTCTGGTGGGCAACTCCGAGACATCACTTATCTGTATCACTTCCAAATGGCGTTCCCGAGAGTCTATCACAATAGACCGAGACCAGGAGGATGTGACAAACCAGCACCGGGAACCACTGGAAGTTAATGAAGACTTAAAGAGAGCGACAGCCAAAACAGTGGTGTGGAAGAGGGAACAGGCCAGTGAGACTATTGGAGCCTATTACTGTGAAGGGAAGCTCAAGGATGAGGTGACGAGGATACACACCATGAAGATGCCGCTGGGAGGTACCGTATAGTGGTCAGACCTGAATGTCGCGTGTCACTGCTTGCAGACTGGCAGTTATCCCAGGCTGACACAAGTGGGCACAAATGTGGCTCCAGAGGAGGCAAGGCAGTCTGGAGTCAACAAAAATAGACTTGTCTCAAGCCCTTGGTTTTTTTTTTTCTAAATGCAGAGACAACGGGTCTATACTAGCTGCTAGTCATTTCCTTGTGGAAATTAGTCAGACATTTGTAGGTATTCTGCCTGTATCTGGCTACTACCAGGAACACAAAATCAGGTGGCAAATAAGGTACGTTACTGGCTTCACTGACCCCATGATATAACACATACAGTAACTCCTGCACTGAGGTTTTCACATCCCAGACCCTTAATTTCTAAACGTGTTTCCATTTTAAAGTCTTGACAGACCTGAGATGTAGATAGCTAAACATCGCTACCCTTTTTTATTTTCTTTTTAAATAAATGGGCAACCTGAGCCTAGAAAATAACTGTTGCCTAAGGTTTAGTAAAGCTACAGATCAGAAACTTTGGATCTCCACACTCTTTGTCAGTATGAATAAAACCAATCCAGTTCAACATTGGAAAGAAAATCCAGAGAATTTTCCCAAAATGTAAGAAGGTTATTCACAAAAATTCACTATGGATTTCACAATTGACTTGGTTTTGATTTTAAGCCTATACAGAGTAGAAAAAGCAAATATGGCAGGGAGCTGGTGGGACAAGAAGGTGGGATTTCCAAGCAATCTAGCCAGTAAATTACATTCTCTTATGTGCAAAATTTTGCTTGTCTCTGGACCTCATAGGGCTTCTGGGACAAGTTCCAAAGCAGAAACCACCATAAACTACAGAAAAGTTCTGCAGCAAATAAAGTTTTCAAAACTTTAGCCAATTTTTAGTAGACTTCACTGTATTGGTAATGTTTTGTTTGGTCAGAGTTAGGTTGATGGTTGGACTAGGTGATCTTAAAGGTCCCTTCCAACTTAGACAATTTTATGATTCTATGATTGTATGGCAGCTGGTCTGTGAGGAGGCTTGACATATTTAACCTTTCTTTATAAGGTTTTAGTAAGAGTAATTACATCGTTTGTGTCTCCTGAAATTACATAACAAATTTAGAAAAAGAAGGTTTTCATTTGTCTGAGCTACAGCTAATGTCTATTTATTTATTTTAGTAGGGGAACATTAGAAGCAAGGTGGGCAGGACAATGGCATTTTTCTTTTTCTCTGACCATATGTGGTCTTTGAAGGGTTGGACTGGTCACCAAGAAAGCTCTGCAGATGCAGACTGACAACTCCCTTGTTTCAAAGCAGGCTACAATGAGGAGAAGATAAGATAATGGTCCATTGAAAGTCAATGTGACCCTGCCTGTGGCAGCATGCCAGTGGGCAGAACACATCTCTGGCTGCCGTGTAAAGCAACCTCTATGGGTGGAAGAATGTCTTCTGAATCAATTAGGGGTTTTTTGCACTTAGTATCTGTGGACCTAAAAGCAGAGAATTTAAAATAATAAAACTTTGAGAGCTTCCTACGTGACAGTAGTTGTTCTAACCAGAAATAACACAACATTCATGCCAGCAGAAGGTAGGTTTCTTTGAATCATTTCTAGGTTTGAATGCATTTTTCAAATTTTCTATGCAAAAGCCTTCACTGACAAAATTTGAGCTAACAACTCATCAGTGAAGGCGTGTAATCTAATCAGGCTAGATGGGTGAGAAAGAGACGCGACAGAAATTCTCAAAGCTACTAAAGTGCACAGAAAGAGGAAGAAGAGGTCAGTGAAGGACTGTGAGGTTTGGCAAAGCATCTGTAGTTGGAAAACAGGCCTTTTGCCCCTTTACTGTTGTTGTCTGAATAATTTTTACAGGCAGAGTGTGTTTTTCAACACCCAAAAATTGAGCAGGAGTTGAAACGTGCAGTTTCCCATTAAGGACACAAAAGCACGGGAAGGAGCAGCCCTTCTGAAAATCCAGCCACTGTTTTTGCAGCCTCCAGGCAAGAACCTGCTGAAACGCTCCCTAGGCATTAGTCATTTGGGTAGCCCTGCTCACTTTAGCCCCACTGTCATCTGCCCGATTATGTACCTATTGTCAGACATGCAGATACAGTGATGATCTTTGTTGTGTAATATGGGAAGATAACAGGTTCATTTTTCTGCTCTTCTCTACACGTGCCATTCTGAAAGTAATGAGTCCATTCTTCAGAATTCTTTATATTTTAACATTAGGGTTATACATGTAATATTCATACATGCAGTGAGAGGGAACAGATTATGCTTTCTATGTGTATGGAGAGTAATGCTTATACTGTTTGCAGCACATATATCTGGAATAGAACACTATAGAGCCTGTTCTGCATCTAGTCAAATATAATTTATGCAATTTCTCTATACAATAAATGTGTATTTTCATATATATGATTGGGTTTCCCCCACAGAAACTCTCTAGAGTGGGCAAAGGGACAACAATGAAACAGTCTGTTACGGCACTTGCTGTGCAACTCAGTTCATTATGTCTGTATAAGGAATTGGCAGACTCGAGACGTGAAATCATGAAATACAAGTCACAATCTAAAAATACGTTGGAACTGGGCCCACCAGAGAGTGTGGGTTCTTTTCTATTGCAACAATACTCTGAAGAAAAAGTCTTGTGGTTAGGCTAAACAACATACAAAGAAAAGAAAATAAGAATACAAAAGTTTAATATCTTGTTAAAAAAATTAGTAATGCCTCACTAAATTTGGTTCAAAAACCACTGCAACTAAACCACTTAGGATCATTTGTAACTAGCAATTTGTTTTTTTGAAAGCTATTAAATTTTCTTTTCCTAAATAGATCATGGTTTTCACCATGCATTTGTTATTCATAAATAACTTCTAACTCAGGAGCTGACAGTAAGTTGGGACTGCTTTCAGTTTTTGTTTGCCTGTTTCAGATGAGATCTTATTTCATTACTGTATATTAGAAATCTCTGTTTCTGTGAGCCCTAAGTATAGATAGCAGCGCCCAGGTAACATGGCAAATGCTCAGTAGATTCCCACACATGTGCATATCATGCAGGAAAAGTCTCACTGAAATCAATTAGATAGCACTTACAGGGGAATGAAGAGGTGGCAGAGGCTCAGAGCCCAAACACTAGAACTGCAACAGGGGGATGCTGCAAACTAGAAGAGGGGATGGAAATTCCACTCTGCAAAGAACTATCCATTTCCAATAGCTGTCTTATTTCCAAACAGAAACAAAGCATTAAAATGTCAAAATTCTCTCATTCAGATGATCTGTGAATCTGATTTTTTCTTTTGCTCTTAATGCAGGCAAACACTCTTGGTATTTACAGGGAGCATGGTGAACTAACAGAAGGACACACCTTATGTCTCTTATTGCGTGTCCCCCAGACACTGCATGGCTGTAGTCTCCTGGACTATCTTGACTGTTCTGTGTCATAAAGCTTAAACAGAAGAGGGCTGAGTCACTCAGGGCATTTGTTTGCAAATGATGCCTTGTTCCCTACCATGCATTTTCCAGAACTTTGCCCAATCTGCTATAAAAATGTCTCAAGGGATGAAGAAACTCGGGAAAGTGTTTTACAGACAGTGGGAGCTCCTAATTAGGGGGTGTTTCCAGCTACTCAGCCATAATACTGGTTTTGTTTGTTTGTTTGTTTCATGACCCAGGCTCTAGTGGCAGTCTGTTGTTTCAGGGTATAGGCGAGTCCTCTGTCTCTGGCAAAACATAGAGTTGAGGTTGCAGGTGATAAAGAGTCAGTGTGTGCCCTAAAGAAATTTAAATGTCAAAAGCTGAGTTAGGGCCGTGCTATAAACCATTCTCAGCTTTTGGCCCAGAGACCAGTTAGAGACAATAACTGCTGCTATTTATCCTGTACTTCTGTCCTGTTCTGTTTTCAGCCTCATTCCACCCGGTTGCATTAACTGTTACAGCAAATAAGGGAGAGCATGTGAATATTTCCTTCATCAGAATGGCAGCAAAAGAGGAAGATGCAGTGATCTACAAAAATGGTAATTAAACTTTCTGTCTTGGCTTTTCTCTTCCTGCTATTATTGCCTTAGCTAAGTGCCATGTATCTATTTTAAAGTTGTTGCTGACGATGCCCATACCGTGCAAGGGGAGCAGACACAGATCCTCATGCATTTAATGTTCCCTAAAGGAGCCATTTGCCAGATCCAATATGTTGAGCTGACTTGTTTTTCTTCCACCAGAATGCCAAATTCTCTGTTTATGCCTTTGCTTTGTTTCTTATTTTCCTTTTTGATTTCCTTCTATAACCCCTCATATATTTCCCTGGCTGATTTTAGCACCTTTTTGGGCTTTTTTTTTAGCTATGCCACTGTGAAGGCCTAGTTATTGCATCTTTCTTTGCATTTCTATTGCTTTTCAAGTGCGTACCTTTCCATTTCCAAATGGCTTTTAGAGGCCATTTAGCTTCTACAGCGCTCTTCAGGCTAAGAAAGTAAGCACTAGTAAGCTGCTATTAGAAAGGCAAAACTGTCAAAAATCTAATCCTTATTTCATTCAACTACAAAAATTAGTCAGGTTGTAAGATTTATGATACCAACTTTTCTATGAAACATGGCACCTAAATCACATGTTATTCACTGTTCAGTTGTGTGTTGCTACAGCTATGGCAGTGCAAGGTGGAGAAAGTTTACCATCACTTGTCCTTTCAGAGTCCTCCAGGAAATGTCATGATCTCCTGTCAGCATTTTCTCATACAAGAACCAGCTGGTATGTTAGAGCAGGAATGCTTACATCATGGTGCTGCCTTATCTGGGATTCCAACTGGAAACCTGGCAGAAAGCCTCAAATTCACCATGTCACTGGACAGTAGGTCAAGTTCACCTGAGATTACAGCTGAAATAGCATCGCTCAGGATTTCTGATACAGCAGCTGGCAAAGAAGAGAAAACACTTGTCCTGTTGTATTTAACTGTTGCAGTCTTTCACTTCAGTCATTTAAATTACCACTTTCCCCTTACAGACCCTCTGTCTAGAGGGGCTGTCTAGAGAATGAATCTGTTCTGCTAAATAAGATTGCTGTAACATATTGGAATAATACATGCCACCTTGGAAAACAAGCCACAAAACCTGAACCTTGCTAACAAACAGTGAGCATAAGGCTTCTTTCTTAATACTTTTCTGCCACGTTTGTTTTGCAGTTTGTAACTCAAAAGATATGCAAAAAAAAACCCCACCACCCCAATTTCAGAACTAATCCCTTTCATTATTTCTCCTTTTTTGAAGAATTCTTACATGTTGTCATGGATTAAATTGATCCAAGATCTTTTTTGCTGTTTTGATTATGATCCTCAGCAAAGTTTTACATTTCCAGGCTGCCTGAAATTTTACTATAGTCAAAGTGATAGTATGATAGTATGCATGATCACAGACAGTAAAGGTCCTGTGTGACGCTGTTTACCTTCTAAATTATTTCAACACAGTGAAAAACAGTTGTTTCATTATCAGTGTAACTGTAAGGGGATGTAGAAGTAACAGCACTTGATTTGTGGGAGTATCATCTGGTTAATGGTCATTCAGCATAGAAGACTGAGACAAGAAACAAGAGAAGTAATAAATAAACAGACACACAAGCCCTAAGGAGCAGCAGATGACAGAAAACATGAAAGGGCAGAGCTCTCCAGCTTCTGAGGAAATAACACAAAGCCCTGAGAATTTCAGCCAGAGCCTTATAGGTATAAGAAGAGGGGAACAGGATTATGATAGGTCTCAGGGGGAAAGAGCAAACTTACTATGGCATGATCGAGGGGGACAGTGAGGACTTGTGAAATAATGGGATATTTAGAGAAAGAACCAAACACAGAAAAGGGATGGTTCAAAGTAAATGGGAAAGGAGCAAGCATGGGGAAAATGGGGTGGGAAGCAGCCAAAAAGCGACTCTGGTCTGGCCAAGCTCTGCACTAGTGTTGGTCTGATCTTATTAAACTCTGTTCTTAATTATTCTTCAACATGAGTGTGGTCCCTACCTGGTACACATATCTGCTAGTGACCTTCAGGCTAGACTAGAAGGCACAACAGGTTTGACTCCTAGTAGCTGGAAACACATGCCAAGGGTGAAAGGGGCTTCTCTGGGGTCAGCAACCATAAGAATTGTCTAAGGCCAGTTACAGCAGGGAGCCTTTTGCACACCCGTGTGTGTGTGCATGTGCCACACTAGCAAACTTTAAGCCAGACTAACCAGCGAGTAGGATAAGAGGTCTGAGAGCCAGCTATGAGAGGGAGTGTAGGTCTAGGCCAGCTAAGACCCATTTTGGGGAGTGTGAGTGTATGAGATCTGCTAGCAAGCCTGGCTAGCTGGCAAGCAAGAATAGGATCGGGCTGTCTGGGTGTATGTAGGTCCTGTGTGCACATGCAGTACCTGTGAAGGTGTAGTTCTGCTGTGTGGGTCTGTTGGTGGCTGCCTTTGTCAGTACAGCGTGTGGTGAGGATGTGCATGTATGTTTTGGTAACAGCTGGCTGGCAGCAGCCTTGCTCTGACAGGCTGGGGGTGGAAGGATTCAGGGGTCCTGAAGTTCCCTGGGTGCCACTTCTCTTTTACAGCAACCAGTGTTCAGATGTTGTTACATGGTGATCCAGAGGGATGGGAGAAGACCGAATGCTATTGCCCTACCTAGCAACCATGTATGAACAACTACAGCAAACCTAGAATAACATAGATAAGCTCCCTTGGTGAAAAAAACAGAAGACACAGAAACATGTTAAGTCTGGGACGAAAAGATAAAGCTGTGCTGTGTTCTTCCTGCTTTGGTCTGCTAAGTAAATCTTTGTGCTACTCAGATTAAATAGGACCTGGCTGGCATTTGCTTCCAGCCACACTAGGCTCCTTACAGATAGATGGTCACCCCTCACTCCAAGAAAGGCCAAGGAACACAATGAACACTTTTAACCACTAGAATCATAACAACATTCCTATAAAGCAACACTGAACTCAAAGTTGTTTGTCCCATTCATCTACTAAATCTCCTCAAGATCTAGTTTCCTTTTTCTTGCAGCTGTCCAGGTATCAGAAAGTAGTATAGCTAAAGAGCTGTCAGCAAATGTGTAACTAATAAATAGATTCTGCCCCTTAGTTCATCCCAGCTGTTCTTCCTCAGTAACGAAAGCAAACTCTCTTCTGTCTGTAGAGGATGAATGGCTTCTCTCTGTTGTAACTCTGTGCTCCTTCCCCAGGTTCCTTCATCCACTCTGTGCCCAGGCATGAAGTACCAGGAGAGTTGGAGGTCTCCTATCCTCAAGTTCAACCACAGGATGCAGGGGTTTACTCTGCCCGATATATAGGAGGAAACCTCTTTACTTCTGCTTACACAAGGCTTATTGTGAGACGTAAGTTCCATTAATGTGTGCTGATGATTGATTGTTTAAAGTTGTAATGAATCTGAAATTAAATTTCTACTGTGCCCAAATAAGGGCCAAAATCTTTCTTGGCATAAACTGCCATCACATTATGTCAGAAGAAATTTTTTCCCAAGGATCTTTGCTACAAGCTGATACTGATTTAAGCAGCTGAGAGAGAAAAATACTCAGATTTAAGTTCAATTTATCTTAGCTATTGCCAGGACATCTAGCTCTTTTCCTCGCATCTCAGCTTTTCAAACATCAAGTAAGCACTAAAGAAGAAGGTGGCACTGGGTCTCCCATAAATGTGAAACGTGGATCTCGGCACAAAATAGAATTTTTCAAATGTCTCTGTTCTCTATGGTGGAGTATATCCAATATACCCATTTATCCTAAGATTTCTCATCTTTAGTATACATTATAGTAATTTCACAAATTACTCCCCCCCCCAGCTTTAATTAGCTCCTAAAGTTCACCTCCCAGTGGATGACAGGATCAGTTACAATGGAGGTGGATATTTTCCATTAAGTATTATATGTGTCTTGTAGTTCATGCTGCTATGTCAATTTTCATCAGATATAAAGAAAATTGTATTCTATTAACTTGGATAGAAATATAAAGCCCGTATGTAAAAACAAATAAGCCCGTATGTAAAAACAAATAGCTATTCAAATATCTTACATTATGGAGAAAATGTTTCTGATCGTAAAACATATTTTAGTTGCTAATATCCACAGGATGCTTCCAGGTGTCACAAATGAATCAATATAATGCCCGAAATGTGGATTTGTAGGGTGATAATAGCTTCATAAATAAAATGGTCCAAGATCTGTTCTCCAGTCTAGTGCCCAAGCTGTACAGCAGAAGACCTATCCATATATTCTGCCTCCTGCCTTGAAATAGGATGTCTTTGTCTTGCCCATCCTGCCTATTGGGAAAACTCCTGGGGCATAGTCTGGGAGAGTGGTAGGGGAGCACACTAACGAAAAAGAGAATGGATGATTACATGTCACTGCTTAAACACATGTCCTGTCCTTCTTTGAATTAGTATTAGAGGCACAGACTGATGATTTTTAGCCAAGCTTTTCTTTTGCCAGAGAAGGAGGAGATAGAGCTCCAACTGCTATGTTGATTCATTAAACAACCCAAGCTGACCCAAGTCTGGATTATTCCATTTTAGTGAGCCTGCCTTAGGACTTTCCAGTTTATTGTCTTCTCAGTCTCAGCTTTACACTATAAAAAGTCATAAAGGTCAGTTTCTGTGATGTAAGAAACTTTGTTATAAATCAAATACTGAAAATTATTAAGTCCTCTCAGCTTCCCCTGATTTCAAAAGCAGCCCAGAGAATGTTGCATCCTGTAGGGATAGATTCAACATTTTCATGATGAAGTCATACATACTTCTTTGGAGCTTGAGCTCTGCTTCTATGAAATTAGTATCAAAACTCACACTGGCAGGATAATGGTAGTAGTATCTTTTCAAGTCATAAAGTGGGAAAGAAAATGATGACAAGCATTGAAACAACTGATTGCTCTTAGTCCATTTATTACAGAAACAGGTCAGGAGGTGATTTATCCCTATAAAGACCCAGTGAAGACAGTAAAGATACAACAGATGTGAACCCAGTCTAACGAACTTTCAAGAAAAAATACTGTTACAGAAATAAAGCATGAGTTGCCAAGTGCTGGCACAGTGCCAGTGATGCCAAGCTTGGTCATGGCTTACCACTAGTACAGCCATCTCCAGGTGAAGCCTGGACCTTTTGTAGGTCTCAGATCCCTGCTACAAGGATAGAAATCTTAAATATAACACCTTTGTCAACTTCCAAACTAAAAAAATCTCTCTCTAGTTAAAAAAATCGAAGATGTTTTTAGTTCCTTCCATAAAGATGTTACATAGCATTACTGCATGCTATGCAGCAGTTCTGCTCCAGAAATAGAGGCAATTCCACTGTGAAAAAAGTATTCCTTATATTAGGTCAGTCATCTGGGGCTTTGGGGGAGTCCATATAGATCATATTTTTATGCATGGTACCGTTTGTCTTAATGGAAAAGAATTTTACTACTTGATCAGTTACTGAATAAGAAGACCACAAATATGTCATTATATTTTTGCATAAAAGGATGTGAAGCTCAGAAATGGGGCCCTTCCTGTAGCTCCCACTGCCCTTCCTGCACAAACAACGGCATTTGTCATGAAGATACTGGGGAATGCATCTGTCCTCCAGGTTTTATGGGAAAAACATGTGAGAAAGGTAGGCAAATATTATTTTCATGGATTTCTTATTAATTTATTCACAGTAGCAAAACTTGGCAGATTATTGAGGGAAGCATCAAATGGAGTAGCCTCATTTTGCTCTTTATAACTATAGCATTAACTGCTGGTGCTGAAGACAGGACAGTGTTGGCCGAGACGAACCCTAAATTAGTGAGGCTGTTCTTGTAGTTGTGATTTAACTGTGCCCTCTCTTCTCCCATATTAGAGATTATGTTGCCAGGGAAGGTGAATGTTTCCAACTCTTCTTGATCAATACACACTGGGACAGTGTGCTAGACAATCTCAACCAGGCTCTCCTTCCCATGAGAGGCTGGACCAAATGATCCTTAGAGGTCCCTTCCAACCTGGGCTGTTTTATGATTATCCTGAAATTCAGTATGCTTGAAGCTACTGACAGACTGTTAAATGCATTTCAAAACGTGGTCTTAAGGATACACTGGCACGGGGAAACGAAGCCATGTGTTACAGGTTCCTTGGCTACTTCTGAGCAAGCTGCTAACACACTCACAGGATGATTTGTCTCTGTAGGGACAGACCAATAGTATACATCTGTTTGTGTGTATCTGTGTCTGTGACAATTAGTTCGGATTCTGAAATAATTATAGGATTAATCTGATCTCTCCAAGCTGGTTTTGAGTCCAATGCTAAATATGTGTCCTAATATTTTGACTGAATTGCAATACTGCAAATACTGGAGTTAAGCTATTGGAATAGTTGACATCTGAATCACTCTGTAACACTGATCATATCAGAAAAGCAAAACCTTGAGCTTGGAAGTTGCATATGCACTGACCTCTAAAGAAGAATTTTCATGGGACTGTTTGTCCATTTTATATTAAAAAGGCTTATAAACACGGTTTCTTGCTGAAGCTCTGTCCCCACATATCCAAAGCTATGGGTGCTTTGCTGATGGGTCCTCACATGGGACAAAGTTATGTTTGTTTCTGCTGCCTGAACTTACCCATTAGTGCAACTGTGGCTGACATTATGGATGTTAATATATCTGGTATCTGAATAGTAAAAATGCTATTATTTTTTTTTTTTAATTCATGTTTTCGGTTGTCTAAAGCTGCATCATTAGAAGCATTGCCTCTTTTGAGGACTTACTGCTGTTGGGCTATTCTTTTCCTCTCTCCCTTCAACAGCTTGTGGAGCCAATACATTTGGCAAAACATGTGAAGAGACCTGTAAAGAAAACTATGGCTGCAGAAACTATATGTTCTGTCTACCAGATCCATACGGTTGCTCTTGTGCCACAGGATGGATGGGACTGGAATGTGATAAAGGTAAAGGATATGAAGAACGGTGAAGCGTCCTTGATGTGCTGCACATAGGAAATATAAAAGGGGATGGAAAGAGCAGAGTAAGATACGGGATTTTTTTACATTCTGAAAAAGAGGGATAATAATATTTACCCATCTCAGAAGACCATGTTAGATTCTCAGAAGAATGACACAATAAAGTTAAAAACTATTCAAATTATGCTGTGAAATGAATTTATGTTCTACTGAGGCATTAAAATCCTCCAACAGCTACAGTCCTGCTGTATTTCTATAAGACAAACTGAGCAGTTCAGTGCCAAACATATATCCATTGCTGAGCAATACTGAGCATAATCACCCTCGTTCATTTCAGTTAAACTACAGTCTCTCTGTGACAGAAAGCACATCTTCCTTTATGAATATGTGCCATCTTGTTCAGTAGTGACACTGCCACAGTGCAAGTGAAAAAAAGCAGTAGAAACTTCCACATTGGCGTCTAGTCTAAAAATGACAAGCATGGATGCAAATGTGCTCTAATTTGTTGATGCTGGTGTGTTCTCAGGATGCTCTGTTGATGACTTAGTGCTAGCACATATAGTTTCAAACTAATGCTCACTGAGGGAACTAAACCCTCCTGGAGAATTGATGCATGAGATTGAAAACTAATGGAAGACATATTCTAGTACCTCTACACTAACTGGAAACATGTCCTTTCAGAGTGCAAACCTGGTTTTTATGGGTCGGATTGCAAACTCAAATGTAATTGTCACAATGGAGGGACATGTGACAGATTTAAGGGCTGCATCTGCTCCCTGGGATGGCATGGTCTGCAATGTGAAAAAGAAGGTAAAGCAAGGTAACACGGTAGTAAATGGCTTTTCCCAGTGTAACTGAAACAGGTCTTCATGCTGGTACAGCATTTCCACTCCAGGCGGGTATCCTTGCTCTCTCAATTACATCCCAGGGACCCAGGCACTTCTGTGAATCTTGGTTGCAATGCAGTGTTTTTCTGCTTCTGCCCCATATTCTGCATTTAGCAGGCTGGCACGCTACCATTTCATCTGATTTTTTTTTTTCATTGAGATAGATTTGCAAACCTCACTCCATAGGATTTGACACTGACCTTAATATCAGTTACTGACAGAAGATACACATCCTACTTGCATGATCAGCTTTTGGATAGGCTCATGATACTTTATCTACCTCTTATTCATCGGCATACACTCCTATGCTATGCACCTCATGATCTGAAATCTATGACAGACACCAAGACAAGCCCAGAGTTTAAAACAGTCTCTCTGAGACAGAGTTAAGCTTGCAAAGCTGAATATATCTCATTCAGAATCTCTCTGGATTCAGGCAAGATCACATACAATATTTGATAAGATGCACTCAGTATCTATTATTTCTGCTTGATAAATACAGTGAAAAACCCACTGTTAACTTCTAAAAGCTTTTTAGTGCAAAAACAAACAGAGAAAGAAGACCGTGATCCAACCAGTCAAACTACACTGTTGTGACCTAACTGCTCTTATAAACAGAAAAAATGGAGAGCCAGTAGATACTGTACATACAGTACAAAATGTGTACATGATTTTGCCATAGCTAGACTGTCTATGCCTAGAATGTCAGCCAGAGAGAGAGGGGAGGTGAGTGGTGGAAAGGAGGGGAGGGAAGAGAGAGAAGAACGGACAGAGGACTTGTCCTTCTCACATGATGTAACCGTGCTGACTCTGGTAAGCGTGATCCTTGTGTATGCCCACATGAGGGTGGAGGGAGAACTAGACGCCTGTGCTCATCGCACACCTCAACCTCTTTTGGTGCTGCCTTTTTAAAGTTCTCCTTGAAGGCTGACATTAAAATTTTCTGTATCTTCTATAGGTTCAGCAGATCTTTCACCTCAGATAGAAAACTTACTAGATCCCGTAGAACTCAATTCTGGTGTCGAGTTCAAGCCCTTTTGTATAGCAACTGGGATGCCACTTCCTAAATCTGAAGAATTTAAACTTTTGAAGCAAGATGGAACTGTCCTAAGGGTAGGCTGCTGATGAACTGCTTCCTGTTATTTCGGATGTTAATATTGACTTTATCTGCAGTTATTGCACACTATATTTTTCAAGCATAATGTGACATTTAATATTCTGAGATACTTCATGAACTCATGAACTGAACCACATACGAAACCATGGAACTTACCATTGTAGACCATTTCTATTGAAATCACTAAACTCTAGATGAGTTTCTAAATTATGAGGAAGTGTTATGGGAATATTCCTAAATGACAACATTTTTGGGGCCCTGTACATGTTCTGTCGTTCCAGCCTGCCCTGATTGTTACCAGCAATCGCTCTGAAGCCATGTTCACAATTAATCGAATCCAGCCCCGTGATACAGGAACCTGGGTCTGCAGTGTGCAGACAGTAGCAGGAATGGCAGAGAAAGCATTTCAAGTTACAGTCAAAGGTAAAAGCATTAATCTCTTCAAATGTCTTTGTCTCTCTGCTTTAAGGGCAGCTTTATACTCTAACATGGGAGAGCTATCTGTTCTCTGCACTGCAGGTCAACATCTGGATAAATATCTATGGTCAGAATACAAACAGAAACCCTTTATACGCAACATACTAATTATGTGTATTGAAAAAAAATAAGTGTGATGGTGAGGATTAGAAGAAAATCCAAGGGTTTCTTTGAAACATCTAAACTGTCAGCTTAAGGGTGTAAACTTCTGTCGACTTCATAAGAGTTTTGAAGAACATCTTGGATTTTCCTACAGATCTAGGAAGACACTAGAGTTTTACTGATATAGGGACTTAAAAGTCTGGTTTAATTCTTGTGTTCTTGCTCAGTTCCTCCTGTGCCACAGTATGCTCCAAGGCTGACAGACAGTGGACATAATTTTCTCATAATTGATATCAATGCTGACTTACATCTTGGAGATGGACCTGTTGTGTCAACAAAACTCCTATACAAGCCAGCAAAACATTATCAGTCCTGGATGTCTGTGGAAGGTAAGAGCACGTTCTTTAATTCCCTTAAACACAAACTTCAGCTGCATCCTGAAATATAATGTGGGGTCTGCTCTTCACTAAACTCAAGATAGTCTACAACACGTAAAACTTAAATCTTGTATGAATGGATGCATGACTTTTTGCATATCAGGATGTATAATGTTAATATGGATGCGGTACACCAGCAGTAGTCAAAAGCTTATATTCAGTTTTCAGTAACCAAGGGGTTACCCTCTCCTTCCTTAAGATAAACAGTACTGAGTGTTGGGCCCAGCTGTTGAAAACTCCCATGTAAATAGCAGGTTTTCAAAAGTAGTGAGCAGTATGGAGATGTAGCACCTGCAATCTTCCTTCACATCTATTGCTCTCTCTAGTGAGACAAATATCTTATCCAAATACTTATCAGGAATGGTAAGGGTAAAATCAAACCTGCTTGTGAGTTAGATGACCTCCTCCAGTTCTGTTTTAACATTTTATGCAAGGCCTAAAATATTATAAGAAACATCATAGGAACTTTAGAAAGTAACAAACAACTCTTGTAGCTAATTCAAGATAACCCAGGATCTGCATACGCAATGCACGTTGCCTAAGCAACCAGTCATGTTCTGTCCTGAGGGAAGCGTAGATGAAAATATCCTTTTGGCTGGGTTGAAGCTCAACTTAAAAATAAGAATTTTATATTTCTAAACAGTTTGTCTTGGTAAATCAGGAACAAAAGAACATCCTGGGTATCTTACCTTCTACGGTTAGTGGTGCAGGAATATTTTCCAAACCTTTTCTTCCTTAAGATTTTTCAGCATGGACTGTGGCTTTACTTTCTCCTTTCATTGTCAGTAAAAGGCACGACCAAAAGACTGGACAACCTGGAACCAAAAACAGAGTATCTGTTTTGTGTTCAGCTGAGTCGGCAAGGGGAAGGTGGGGAAGGCCATCCTGGACCACAGGCTAGATTCACAACAGCTGCGCTTGGTAAGTCATTGTCTTGAGTTTTCACAAAAGGGCTGTTTCAGCTGTTTTTCTTTGTGGTCTGTTCCCTGATGTCTGCCAGAGCACTTTCATTTGAGGAAAGAGGGCTGGATATGAAGACTATGTAGAGTCTTTCAAAATAATCTCAGGCAAAGAAAAAAAGAAGGAAGTAAAAAAAATCAGAGGTAAAGAAAATCAGAAAAAGGCAGAGCTATTATTTTCCCTGATTTAGAGATGGGGGATCTGGGAAAGGAAAATTTACTTATTTTGGCTGGCTGTGCAGAAGAGTTGGAAATAGAAATCACTGTTGTAAATAGCAGTTTTTCAAAAATAGTGAGTGGTATGGAGATGTCCTGGAGCATCTACAATCTTCCTTCATGTCTATTGTGCCCTCTAGTGAGACAAATATCTTACCTGAAGATATCTATAGAAATAGATATATCTAAATATCTTATCTAAAGATCTTACCTTATCTTTTGCATTCCAGTCCTTCCTCCCAGTTCTAGATCAGTCCTTCCTCCTATTATTAGATCAGTTTACTTTAAAAGTGAAGATATCTGAACAAGCAGAAAAGCTTTTAGTCCACTGAGGATACAGCCCCAACTGAATACAGACATACAAAATAAATGGGGATTGCACCAGGAACTATCTAACACAAGAGCAAAAGATCTGGCTTCTCAAGTCTAAAAAGTGCATCTGCAACACCAGCTCAGTGAAGAGACCTTTTTGTTGACACCACAGCTGTTAATAAGATACTTTGGGACTATCAACACCTCTTAGGTGTAATTTCTGCCAAATTGGGTGAGGTGGCAGGGAGAATTACCTATTGCCACTCCAAGCTAGAGCAAGTGGTTGGGAATAGCTGGTACCCTATTTTAGCTTGCATACCAGACTTGAAATCTTGTTCCTTGTCTCACTGTGGCTTTTCCAAGGTCTTCCTCCACCAGAAGGTCTCGCTCTCTTTCCAAAAAGTATGACATCACTGAATTTGTCATGGCATCCTTTAACACTGAAGACAGAGGATGACATTCGTGTTGAAGTGGAAAGGAAGAGTGTGAATGATAATGGTGATGAGAGCAGTGTTATTACTCAAGTGCCAGGAAATATGTCCACCCTGATCATTAAAGATCTTGAGCCTAGACAGCAATACATGTGCAGGGTACGGGTGAACACCAGGTCCCAAGGAGAATGGAGCAACTATCTGTATGCATGGACTTTCAGTGACAGTAAGTGGCTCATCGTTTTGTTTAATTCTTCCTTTTCCTCCAGTAATGAGACTGACTGTCACTTAATGACTACATTAAATGTAATCCTTTATTCTGGTAATGCTCAGTTCCTGATGATCACTTCTGGTTGTATTATGAAGATATAGCTCAGTGTCCAAAGAAATTCTGAAGCTGGAAATTATCAGGAACTAATAATGAGTTTTAAAAAATGGGAAAAACAAAGTAAATGCTTGGTAATCCAAATCCTATGCTTCTGACACATGCAGCGTTTCCTCCCCATAATGATGAATACACAGAGTTCCCTACTCCAAAAAAACATTCAGACCCTGCAATTCAGCTATGTCAATACACAAATAGTCAGCAGTTAAAGAAGGAAGAAAAGATACAAAGCAAGATAAAATCCCTGTGAGCAAGGAGTAGTTAGGTGTGCTACAACAAAGACCTATGACCACTCTTGAATTGCCTGAGTGTGAGTAGTTCCTTTCATAATACCACAACAAACACCCCATCTGAATGAAGTAACATCTGAACGGATGTCCATCTGAATGTCTGATGGGTGCTGCTGCCCATACCATGTACTGAAAAGGTGGGCTTCTTCCTCCTGCATGCATTAACAGAAATATCATGGCTGAAATGGGACACTCCAGTTTCCGGAGCTTTGATGCCAAACTGCACTAAGAAAAGCATAAGACTAGTACTGTTTTCCAGGAGAAGATACTTGGCTTAGTAGTCATGGGTTTGTCCACAAGTCTAGCACTCCCCCCTGCTGGTGGTTTTCTGATGAAATTTGTAGAAATGCTGGTATCGATTTCCCTTCTTTCTAACAGCCTGTATCCTGATAGGGAATTGCTCCCTGGAGCAGTGAAAATATGGGACCTGGGAATCACATGGGGATGGTGATTAAGCACAGAAGGAAATTAACCCTTTGTGCATTAATTTGCCTACAACTCAGGGAATTTTTATCTTCATCCAAGGACAGGAGTTTACTGAATGCCACTCCAACCTCTGCTGGAAGTATGGAGTACTGCAATTACGGGTGACAACACATTAAGTTCATAGAACTATAGCATTCAGTTACCATAGCTCATCAACAAAGTTCTGCTTCTGTTTAGCACAGCAAAAACACCAAGGAAAGTGGTGCTTTTGCTGTGCTCCTGTGTGGGAAGGAGAAAGTGGTGGATGTAGACTCCAACACTTTGCACATGTTTGTGTTTGTTCTCAGGAATCCCTCCAGCGCCATACAACATCAGGTTTTCTAACACCACAGACACATCCTCAGTCATCTCTTGGACAACTGCCGAGGGTCACTCCATCTCCTCCATCATCATCAGCTACAAAATTTATGGCAAGGCTGAGTACAACCACATCGATATTATCATAAAGAACACCAGCATTACTCAATACCATCTCAAGGGCCTTGAGCCAAACACTGTGTACCAGGTTCAGATTAATGCTCAGAATAACATTGGTTTGAGCAACCCAAACACATCATTTGAACTGAAGACTCTTCCAGAAACTAAAGGTTGGTTATTCCAGCATGCTGGTGTTGCACAAACCAAGTCCGGTGATAGAAATAGTTAGCTAAGGCAAAGTCGTATTATTAATTTTTTTTTAATATTGACTTTCTTTTGTTCTTAATTTTGGCACATAACACAGCATCACCAAAATGTGATCCCCAGTTCACTGCGTGGTGTTGGTGAAGTCACAACATGCAATATTTGTCTGTATTCACTAGAAAGTGCCCAACAGTTCATAAATTAAATGACCTCCATATAATAGGACTACTAGATCACTGAATGTGACCTCAGCTCTGCTGTGCCTGAATTCAGTGGGACCTGCAGGTGCTCAGACATTTGAAAATCAGAGGATTTAATGTCTGTGGCATTTCTGGAAAACAAAGGGATGTATCTTTCTGTCTTGATACAGTTTACAAGACAGGAGTATTTAGCTATACATTGTTCGTGGCTTTTTCAGAATTATCTGGAAATAACAGTGAACTCTTTATGTGCTTCCTCAACAGCTCCATATGAATCAAAAGGAGGCAAAATGCTGCTTATTGCTATCCTTGGCTCTGCAGGGATGACCTGTGTAACAATTCTCCTGGCCTTTCTCATCATGCTGCAGTTAAAGCGAGCCAACTTCCAGCGCCGAATGGCTCAGGCTTTCCAAAATGTGGTGGTGGGTTTCCAGATTTCCTGTGTCAGTGTGGTTATTAATTTTGGCCCCATACTTTCCTGTTTTTTCCAACTCCTTTTCCTTGGCTTTCCCAAATGTTGTCTTCTCTTCATGTGTGCAATTAGTACGGTTGTTGTAAAGCTTCTCTGCTGGTGACCCCAGAGCCAAAGCAATCACGGTTATAGGGTATGAGGTAGACAACCTGACTTGAAAAAAGATGCACACCTTTGATCCTTCTCCCTTTTCTGCCTTGTCCCACCTGTGTATGACAAGTACTAGGCCAGATATAATGGCCTGTTTTCCCTCTATGAAATTGTGCCTGATTTTGAAAACTACAGTATTTTTTAACGTTGCTTTTGAGCATCAGCAACAGCTCCCTCATGGCTTTTCAACCTGGGCACAGCATGCCATGGATCAGTCAACAGAAACATTATAGTTCTGGCAGTGAGGAAATTGCTGAAGGTTGCAATATCTCATAGATATATCTCACCTATACGTACATACATGTATATATTTGTTTCCTGCTGTAGTCTTTTTATCTTTCTGGTGCTGTTCTCTCACCTCAGAGGGGTACTTCTGAAGCAGAATGGAGAGGGACAAAAAGCTCCTCCATATGGATCTGCATAAGTTGTTTCATAAACAGAAGGATAGGAGGCTCATCCAAAAAGATGATCAGTCCCAAGCCACACAGAATAGCTTCTGGTCCTTGTCCTGAAACTTCTCCCACAGAATTATTTGGTGACAAAGAGTAACTGAAGTAGAGACGTGTCTCCTCAAGTATGGAGGAAGACCATTTCCTCTCTCTTCTGTTTCCTTGCTTCTTTTTTCATCAGTCTCCCTACTGAGCCTGATCAGTACAGGATATAGTCAACCTTAATGTGAGATAAATCTCAAACCTGAGACTTAAAACTCTTTTTGAGATCAGTTTTACCAAATGATTTTTGCCCAGGTCCTTCATCTTCAAGATGATTATAAAAGTGCTCAGGAGGCTTAAGTCTACAAAGGTATTTATGCATAAATTAGGAGCCTGATTAATTTTGTGGATCTGGGCAGAAGTGCTTGATGCAGTTAGTGTCTAAAGTAGGTGTAATTGTCTACTGTATTCTCTCCGGTGTAAGCAAGAGGTGGATCAGGCTCTGTGTGTGTGTGTACGTGTGTGAGCACACATTTATGTGGGGAGTGTAATCAGAGCATTGCTCAGTAAAGTAGAAATCACAGTTAATGTCATTTGCTTAACTTTGTTACAGAGGGAAGAGCCAGCTGTACAGTTTAACTCAGGTACTCTCACGCTGAGCAAGAAAGCCAAAAACAGCCCAGATCCCACTATTTATCCAGTTCTTGAGTGGAATGACATAAAATTTCAAGATGTGATTGGGGAAGGTAACTTTGGGCAAGTCCTGAAAGCACGCATTAAGAAAGATGGCTTACGCATGGATGCTGCGATTAAAAGGATGAAAGGTAGTAAAGATCAGAGACTCTGAGACTAAAGACTTTCCTTAGTTGTTTCTTCCAAGTGTTTCTCTGTTGTAAGAAATGCTTAGTAGTTCTCTCCTAAAGCTTAAATAAATATTCACAGTTGCTAGTAAAAGTGTATCAGCTGTCAGTAGGAAAAGATTTGTACCCTGGCAAAGACTGTATTTCTGCAAGGTCAAGTTGGTTTATATTTCTCTCTAGTTGTTAATATAATTAACTGTTATGTATTTTTCAATACATCAGTCAGCATGAACTTCATGTGTGAGTTCACCTGCAAAGTGAGAGCCATTAAAAGATACCTTTAGTAGAGTGAGAAGCACAGAGCTAGCCCTGGGGCACAGCATTTACTCCTCTTGCTTTACATTAGCCATTGAGAGACAACTGTATCCATGCATCCATATATATATATATATATATATATATATATATATATATACATATACTTGTACACACACATTTGTTCTCATTGGGTATCACTGCCACCTTCCAGAGAGAAATGCAATACTGCAAGAATGCACGTATTTTCTCAAAATTCACTACATCATTATCTAGGCAAATTGGGAGATACCCTTAAGGATGACAACAATTTTAAAAAGTCAAAAGTCTGCATGCAGGTAGAAATAATCAACAGCACTCACCCGGAAGGATTTTTAGGCAGCTAGTTGTCATATGGTCTGCTGTGACATTTTACATTCTCAATAAGGGAAGCAACATGGTATATTAAGATTCTTTCGCTGCAGGTGGCTGCTACAGACATTAAGTTCTCTTTTTTTTCTTCTTCGATTGAGAAGTCTTACTTTTTTCAGTAAATACAAATGTATCTTAGAGTTTTTCTCTTTTATTGAGGCTGGAGCAGTAGTGTCCCAGGCAGCCCAGAGTCTTCATAATTAACAAGAATACAGTCATAAATTCAGTTTGAAGGAAAACATAAATGTGTGCTTATTTGATTTTCAGAGTATGCCTCAAAAGATGATCACAGGGACTTTGCTGGAGAACTTGAAGTTCTTTGTAAACTTGGTCATCACCCCAACATAATAAATCTTCTGGGAGCATGTGAACATCGGGGTAAGATGAATACATATGCTTTAAAAATGAATTTAAAAAAAAAGAACAAAGCACAGTATAGCTCATAGAAATACTAGCTCATATGCAGGTCTTTCTGCAACATTTGTTAAAAAGTCAAATAAACTTGGTTTTAGACCCACAAGCCCACATTAATCCTTCAGAAATGATGTTCATGAATAGCTCTAAATTATCCTCTACACCTGGAAATTATGCTCCTTGATATTTCCCTTCAAGTCTGTTTTATGTTTATTCTTTTTATGCTTTATGTTTATTTATTTTTCACTCAAAGCAGTGTTAAGTGCCCAGATACTATTACTGACCACCTTTCACTTTGTGATATGCTCACCATCTGATGTTCCATTAGGATATCTTTATCTTGCTATCGAATATGCCCCCCACGGAAATTTACTGGACTTCCTCCGGAAAAGCAGAGTGCTAGAGACAGACCCAGCATTTGCTATTGCCAACAGTACAGCATCTACCCTTTCCTCGCAGCAGCTTCTGCACTTTGCAGCCGACGTTGCTAGAGGGATGGACTACTTGAGCCAGAAACAGGTCAGTCTTCAACTCCCTATCCACTGAAGCACAATATTTTATTTTTCAGGGACTACGCCTCCTAATGAAATCAAAACAAGGTTTTAATTTTAGCTCCTGTATCACCCACTGGCTGAGATTTACTTTGTTGTGTTCACTTAGCCCTATCAAATACTGCATCATGGGGAATCAAGGAAGAGGCATTAAAACTGGCAAATGACAGTAGCTAACTGCTTTCATCTTCAGATAAATTTTAAAATGTTTCTGGTTGTGACATAGCAAGCCATTTGTTTTGTGTTTTCTTTTTATCCTGAATGTTTGCAATTTTCAATTTAGCACTAAACACATGTAAAGGTCATAAATACTGTGGTGATTTTTTTTTTTTTAATTTTAGTTTATTCATCGAGATTTGGCAGCAAGAAACATCTTGGTTGGAGAAAATTATGTTGCAAAAATAGCTGACTTTGGCTTATCAAGAGGTCAAGAAGTTTACGTTAAGAAGACTATGGTAAGGATCAAAAGAAACTGATATAGTCTGGTTTCCTTTTTTTTTTGTTTTCTTGTTTCTTTGTGTTTTCACCTGAACAAAAATGCAAACTCATGGGTAGTACACACTGATTATTTAAATGTTATAGATTGACAAGTATATTTATATTGTATTTATTAATATACATGCATTACTTGTAAATCAATTCTATACCATGTTATAATATACAATTTAATTAAAAATTATTTATATTAATGTGGATGGCAGTAGAATAACCAATTTTGCAGCCAGTTATGAAATTTAGTAAGAATGTGTTATAAAAACCCATGTAATATGTACTTGATATATGAAGAGGATATGTGCATGTGGGTGGGTCTTCCCAGCTGTGAAAACAGTATTTTTGTACCAGAAATTGTCTAGCTGAGTCAAGCTGGTCTAATTCTATTGAACAAGGCCAAAATTAGCAAGATGGTAACCAGAGGTATTTCAGGACCAATGAGCTGAAACATCAGCTGTCCAGAGCTAATGCTTTGGAAGATCTCAAAAAGGAAGATGCGTAATAAGCACCATGTAATCACAGACCAGGAATAACACTGGGTGGTAAAGGGAACAGTATTTGTTAGAGGCATCATAAGACATCACTCAGGAATTATTTCCATTTCCTCTTGATGCTGGTTGGATAAATTTTCTATTAGCTTTAATGTGAACTGTCTCTTTGGGAAGTAATTGCACAACTTAAAGAAATAAGTTTATTGACTTGATAAAGCTTACTTGTATAAAGTCAGTTTTCATTAAGGTGACACACAGAACAATTGTTGGGGTATAAATTGCTGTATTGCTCTTCTGACCACCGCCAAACAAATTTTCATGGAATTAATTTCCAGGGACGGCTGCCAGTGCGATGGATGGCAATTGAATCTTTGAATTACAGTGTTTACACCACAAACAGTGATGTGTAAGTATGTTTTCAAGTGGTCTTTTAATAAAGAAATATTTTTCAATATCAAGGGAAGTTTGACAGCCAGGGTAAGACATCCACTCTTAACTCAAAACACTCAGTAGCTGTGCCAGCACGAGTGAGCAACAGAAGCAAAAATAAAACCCACAACAAAAAAAAAGGTACTTTTATTTCGTCATCAGGGTCTGAAAAAGTTCTGTGTTCACAACTGGACAGCTAATTGAATTTGGGCCACTACTTTAGCTATATTTCTCATTTGAAATCAGAAACCTGATGAATCCCTGGGAGACCCAGAGAAATTCAGTGTTTTAGGAAACTGGATATAGGAAACCAGTATTTCAGGAAACTGGAAGTGATAGTTGGCAAAGCAATTCCATAATAACACTGTTTGCTGAGAGTTCACAGTCTACTGAAGGACTGTGGGTGATTGACTCACAATGAATTAATTTTGCTAAAGATCTCATCCTGCTTTCTGATTCTACAAACCCTATTTTTATAAAAATAATAATAAAGAGAAGGAATTGCACTTCTCTGTGTTATCTGAGTTAGCAAACTTAAAAGGTGAAGTTTTGTTGCATTGTGGTTGTATTCCATAATCTCTCTCTGTTGCAGATGGTCATATGGTGTCCTGTTATGGGAAATTGTTAGTCTAGGTAAGTACCTGAATATTGTACTGCACAAATAAACCAATCTGAGCCAGCAGTCTGTTAAAAATGCATTTGTTTGCAACATACTTCAATTTTTTTCTGGTTCATTCTACTAAATTCTATTTAGCTTCAGCATGCTTGGAAATTTAATTCTCACATTCTCAATTCAGGTACCTTTCTAAATGAGAAAAACATAATGACCATTGTTTCATGGCACTATTAAAACCTAGGCCATATCTAAATATGAAATCCAGCATATCACGTGATTTACATGCCCAATACAATGTGTTTTGAGTTTGATGGGTGGCTTGTTCCACAGCCTTCCTGATTTTTAGATCAAGACTTATATTTTAATGACTTGGGGAGGAGGTGGGGAGGAGGAAGGAGACAAACATGTCCTACTCCAGCTATTCTCGAAGGAAAATTTTTGAATGTTAATGTCCAAATAAAATTTAGAGCTCGTTTCTGCACCTCTGGTGATGACGTATGTGATACAGCCACAAACCATCCAAAGTGGATGTGTGACATAGCCCTTGTGACCTGCCTCAGAGTGTCCACCGAGGTCTGCTGGCCTAGAGGTGCACACTGACCGAGGTGCACAGTGTGGTTCTGGACTAAACACCAACTTTTGCTTTCTACCTTGTTCCCAGCCTTCCTTACTCCATGGCTTTGCGCTAATTATGGATGGGAAGCAACACAAACATCTGCAAAAAGGGGCAAAGCCATCTTGACAGTGATACCTTCGTAAGCCCATACTGGATCTTATTAATACCATGCTAATGAGGGAATGACTTCCCTATTGCCAACAGGAGTATTACAGAACCAGTTCAAATTCAGTCAGGTGCAGGCCCTTAGATTTGTAGAGGAATTCAGGCCAGGCCCACGATGATAAAAGTTTATACTCACTTTTATTTTTCTCTTCAATACTGTGCATTAAGCAGTATGGAAACATTAACAACTGTAGCCTCAAAATATTCCTTAATGTTGGACTGATTTACCTGTTACTGAGTCAGTCATTCTTCTTCATGAAAGTACAGTTTCTTTTACTAAAGCACCGTGTGTTCACGACAATAGTTAAACTCTTGTTTTAGGTGGAACACCGTATTGTGGAATGACTTGTGCAGAACTCTACGAAAAACTGCCTCAAGGGTACAGACTGGAAAAGCCTCTCAACTGTGATGATGAAGTGTAAGTAAATGCCTTAGCAAACAAAATGGAGTAACATCTGCTATAGGAAATACATGATGTCTACAAGAAACTAATAAAACATAGATTTCTTTCAGGTAAACACAAGAACTATGTCTAAAAAAATAAAACAGAACAAAAACATTTTGAAAAGGGTACACTTTGGAAATAATTAGTTAAGTCCTTTAGTACCCAGTATACGCTGTTATTTGCCATGAACTATTTCCCAGGCTCTCTGATTCTGCCAGATACCCTGTTCTTTAAAAAAATATGGCTGAGCTTTAGTTCAAAGAGAGTTCTTTGATTATTCCAGAGAAAAGAAAATTATTTTCAGACAGCAATCAGCTGTGGAAAATGTAAGTCTAGCTATGTATAAATCCATTTTCCTTTGAAAAATAGAATGTGCACAATCTTCCAATAAACATGAACTTGTAACTTTAACCTATCTATCTAAATAATCAGTTGTTGGTGTTTGATTTTTAAATGTATGTGTTTGATTTTTAAAGGTATGACCTAATGAGACAGTGCTGGAGAGAGAAACCATACGAAAGACCATCATTTGCTCAGATACTGGTGTCACTGAACAGGATGTTAGAAGAAAGGAAGGTAAAAACGAATCCCTAGAAAATAATTAGGCAATGACAATTTCAGAATAGTTTAGGATTCTTGAGGTAACACATGTTGCATCACATGCTTTCTGCTTATTTCCTTCCCAGACCTACGTGAATACTACCCTATACGAGAAGTTTACTTATGCAGGCATTGATTGCTCCGCTGAAGAAGCTGCTTAAGACAGGACAACTCTTCATTCATCAATGATGTATTGAAGAAAACCAAAATTCAATTTGCTGGAGCCCAAAATGTGATCTGCTGTGTAGAACTGTGTATAGCTCTAACTGTATATAATACAGTAATACTGTTTTACTACAGATATGTATGTGTATATCACACATTAACCTCTGCCTCCACAGGCTGTAGAAGTGTGTATACTGTTCAGAGCTGGAACAGACTGAAGTAATGAAATTTGCTGTTTCATATGCAGGGTTTTGTATCTTCCTAGTCATCTAGATATAGTGCATACATATAATTACTGTAACACATTAGGTATTGCCACCTTAGGTATTTTTGATACTTTCCAGGAGCTACTGATAGCAAAATCAGCATCTTATAGCAGTATTTCATAGGCATTTCGTTGTAACTTTAAAAAAAAAAATAATGCTAAGCTCAATGTGATAATGGGAGTTACAAGCAGATGTCAAATCAGTAGGCTCACCAATGATAATAAAGTAAGACTCCTATTTGAATGTAAAAGTGAGCTAGTAGAAATAATCTCTTCAAAAATTCTATTGACACTCATAAGATATAAGGCATGGTATTGCTCTTTCATTGTCCAGTTTAAGCCAGAGTTTCGCTATATGCAAAATAAGCATTAAACACTTTAAAATATATGCAATCGGAGGCAGCCATATGGCAATTATCATGAAGCACAGGACTGAGGAACATACTACGTATAGTAAAATACATTTTTACAATTAGCCTCAATATACATGAGGCTCATTCAATTTGTATTTCAATTAATAATTTCACTGCATAATTATAAATTACTACCTATTATTTACAAGCAGGGCTTACTTACTTTTGCTTATTTTATCTGTTATGCAGTCCGTAGTGTGGTATGGCCTCTTGAAAGTACTGTACTCAAATGCTTCAGAACTATGATATTTGGCCTGCCAGAAAGATCTTCTAGTCCTTAGGTTAGACAAATAGAGGCAGGATTGGCTGAGCTTCTGATACTAAGTCAATCGTGTGGGATCTTACCCTATTCAAACGTCATGTAAGCAATACACAACCTGAGATGTCTCTATTCAACCTAGACCTCACAGAACATCCACTAGTTCTGTTAGAGTGTCAAATAGAAGAACTGCTTCTATGCTTGCAATGTGCACTGGGTATCCCAGGTTCAGTAGCTAGATTTTATTGTTTGTTATTCAGTGCTGGAAAGCCCAGTTTATGGCAGTAGGTGGCATACAAAAGTTTTCAGCTTAGCCATTAGCAGGTTGTATATTCTGCCTTCCACAGCACAATACATCAGAGCCCATGCCCCCTCTTTCCCAGGTGTCTCCTATTTGTTTCTTTGCTGTCAAGAGCATAATGCTACCAGTGCACACAGTTTTCCATTATTCCAAATACTCCACATCTAACATTCTTTATATGCCTCCACCAAGCACAGTGTGCTTGGCAGGTAAGCTAAGAAATTATCTGAGAACAGACATCACTGGCTAGCATAATGCAAGATTCACTAGACACCATCACAAGGGGAGGGGTACTAAAAATTCCAAACAAGCACCTTTACCCTCAGTAGATTAGCTGAAAAGTAAGGTACAATGACCCTTGAAGATGTCTGAATTCAGCTGATCCACTCAAGGGCTGCACTTCTCCTACTCCTCACCCGAAAAGAAGCACACATCTGGTCTTAAATAATGGGGATATTTAATTCTTACTTCTCTGTGGACACACGGTGCCTGACACAACTGTAAAGTCAAACACAGCCCCTCTCGGCTGCTCAAAATATAATGGTCAGGCATTTGCTGAAACTGAAAGACAAAATGTTGGCTATTACATACATCTCATCAAAACATGTAAATACCCAATGGAAGGAAGCAAGGCAGATGGGAGTAGCCTCTTCGTAGCAGTATCCAGTGACAGGATGAGAAGCAGTGGACATAAACAGAAATCTAGGAAATTCCATTGAGGGTGGTCAAGCTATGGAAAAGATTTCCCAGAAAGGTTGTAGAGGCTCCAGCCTTAGAGATACTCAAAACCTGACCGGACATCACAGAGGACTAGACTAGATGATCTCCTCAGATGCCTGTCAATCCCAGCTTACTGTGGTTCTGTGAACTCTGCAAGGTGAGGGAAGGGAAATGCAGAAAATACGCAGAGGCCCAGCTAAAGAGCATGAACAATTAAACTAAATACAGTAAATTGCAGGTCACCATCTCTCAGAACAGGATGCACTCTCCAAGTACTTTAATGCATAAGAACCAGCTGTACTGAGTTTTAACCTTCAATATAGATTTAGTCATGCAGTGTCCTCATTGTTCAGGGCATGACTGAGAACTGTGAGATCTTGTTTACACCACTGATCTTCTCCTATGGGGTCCTCAGTGAAGAATTTCTTCCTTACCACTCTCAGCTTTCTTTGACGAACCACTGCAAAGCATAACTTCAGCTCAGAGGTAGTGGTGTACAAAAAATGTCATCCATTCTTACATCTTCATTTCCTTCTGCTTCCTTCATACAAAATAAGTGGCAACAGACTTTAAAATCTCTCTCTGAAGGCAGCAGAATCTGAATCCTACCTTAAGCAGAAGACAGGTCATTATACCTGGGAGCATAGTCCAATTTTAGCTGGAGTAGTGAAAATATTTACTTCTTGAAATGCTCTACTTTTGGGGAACCTTATAAGTCAAAGCATATTGCTTTTATACTTGAATAGCTTCCTACAGGCTCAACTTATTTAAAAGAGACCAGCTGATTCTGCTTCAGAAGAGGTCACATTTCTACCATTATGCCTTTTTATGTCAATTAGTATATTACGCATGACTAAGTTTGTTTTCTGCCTCACCATCTGCTTTCAGAGAGAGAGAGAGAAGGAGAAAGGACAGGGGAAAAGAAAATAATAATCTTAAACTTTTATCATGCAGCAAAAACCTCAATTTTATTTCAGAGGCTGAAAAAGGTGAAATCAAAATGTGTATCTAGAACTCCAAACAATCAGCACCTTCACTTACTGTACATGACAGTTTTCAGCTACACAGAGTAGTAAGAATGATTGCAGAAATAATACTCCTTTAACAGAACTGAAAGCACACACGGGTTTGCTATTTAACACAAGAATTTACTCAGTGCATCTTACTTGTATGTATTTTGTGCATTTGTGTTTTCTCCTTCCTGTACATCCTAAGCTTCAGAAGTAAATACAGTTGAGTTTTTCCATTAGATTTTGCAATTTTCCTCTTTTTTACATCAGAAAAATAATTGGTACTGAAGCATTAGAGACCGGTAAGCCAAACTGAGGTTGATTTTCCATCCCCCATCTTGTTCCTTCAAAGCCATAATAATCACTCTTTTCTCTTCTTATTGTCCTCCTTGACCTTCCAAAGGATTAGCTCCATACAAGCAATTGCATCATCCCTGGAATTATGACCCCCAACTAGAGGAGAACAACAAAAAAAAAGTGTTACATTATTTATTTATTTTTAAAAGAGTGGTAGCTTCGTTTATTAAGTTGAACAACTGTTAAGAATATTAAGACAATACTTGGTATTCAGACAGTTTTTGGTGCAACTTCTTAGTATCAGATTCAATGTTAATAACCACATGCTTCTAGCAGTCCAGTATTGTCTGGCAATACTCAGTTTCCCACCAGATCCTCCAGCTGCAATGTCCAATGGAGCCTGGATTAGTAACCTGAAGTATTCAACATAACTATCTTTGGAAAACCAGCTTCTCCAAGTGACATCATTTCAAATCAGAAGTTGAAAGAGTGACAGAGGACAAGTTGATTTTGCAACTAGATAGTCAATTTCTACACTGGCAAATTAAGGACAATCTAATTGTCTCGATCCACTGAAAGCTTCACAAAATCTAAACAGAATAGAGTTAAAGGATCTAAATTACATACGGTTATACATTTTTATTACATGTTTAATCAAAGCTTAAAAACAATTTACAAGTCTACACCTTTTATACAATTCCCATAACTGTAAAAAGTACACTAGAAAGGTTTTAATGTATTCTGGCTGGAAAACAGTGGTAGTCATCCAAAGAAGAAATGAATACAATTCTCTCATTAATTGGCACTTGATGTAGGCATCAGAATACCCTTCCTAACACTGAGTAAACAGAAGAAAACGCTGGCTGCCAGGATTAGCAGTTAGTTAACTACTGAAAGTTCTAAGCGGTTCTTACTAAAAGCCAAAACTGCAGGTTGGGGCTGTCCAAGCAACTTTAGGATAGGTGGAGGGAGAACAGACCTACTATATTCAGCAATCATCTTCAAAACAAATCTGGCACAGTAACAAATCGTCACATTGATTAATTGGGATATGTGTCCTTCAGTAAACCCTATATGATCTGATAAAGGGAAATTAAATCCTGTATGATTTAAGTTGTGTTAAACAAAGATACCATTTTCAGCATAGAAGTTTTAATAAAGGTATATAAGATCTTAGACAAACAGGTTTGGGGGATGGGCTGGTTATTCAGAAACCAAAAAAAGTTGTGGAAGAAAACAATCTGAAAGCATACAGTTCAGCAATTTCATTTGAAGGTGGAATAATCCTTTCTCCATTTTACATTTCTGAGCTAGTGGCTCAAAAAGAAAAAGGTATTGCTTCTTTGCACTATAGAACTGCCTAGGATGGAAGAGACCTTTCAGATCATCTAGTCCAAGCATCAACCTAACACTGACAAAACCACCACTAAACCATGTCCTTAAGCACCGTGTCTACATGTCACCTCCAGGGATGGTGAGTCAATCCCTTCCCTGGGGTACCTGTTCCAATGCTTGCTAATCCTTTCAGTGAAGGCATTTTTCCTAATATCTAATCTAAACCTCCCCTGGCACAACTTGAGATTGCTTTCTCTCATCCTATCACTTGTCACTTGGGAGAAAAGACGAACCCCTACCTCTTTATGACCTCCTTTCAGGTAGTTGCAGAGAGTGGTCTCCCCTCAGCCTCCTGTTCTCCAGGCTGAACAACCCCAGTTCCTTCAGCCACTCCCCATAAGACTTGTTCTCCAGAACCCTCACCAGCTTATTTGCCCCTCTCTGGACACACTTGCTTTCTCTCATCCTATCACTTGTCACTTGGGAGAAAAGACGAACCACTACCTCTTTATGACCTCCTTTCATGTAGTTGCAGAGAGTGGTCTCCCCTCAGCCTCCTGTTCTCCAGGCTGAACAACCCCAGTTCCTTCAGCCACTCCCCATAAGACTTGTTCTCCAGAACCCTCACCAGCTTATTTGCCCCTCTCTGGACACACTTCAGCGCCTCAATGCCTGTCTTATAGCAAAGGGCCCAAAACTGGACACAGTACTCAAGGTGGGGCCTCACCAGTGCCGAGCACAGAGGGACAATCATTTCCTTAATCCTACTCACCACACGGCTCCTGATACAGGCCAAGATGCTGTTGGCCTTCCTGGCCACACTGCTGGCTCATACTCAGCTGGCTGTCGACGAACACCCTCATGTCCTTTTCTGCCAGGAAGCTTTCCAGCCCAAGATTTTAGCGTTGCATGGAGTTGTTGTGATGAAGACCCATTTTTCTAGAAATGGCAGCTACATAGCTCTATAGGGTAAACTTAGATTTTAGCTCAAATCAATAAAGGATGACTAAATCCAGACGTAGGAAGAAGAATCTGCTAAAGGCAGAGTTTCAGCTATTTGAGATAGCCATCTTAAAGTCTTTAGGAAATAACTTTTGATGTTCCCCTTATCCTCACCACAGTGCTGTACATCAGACTGTCAGAGCAAAGGAAGTCAGAGGACATTATAAACTTTCAGATGCAGCGGTCAGCTGCTCCACTGGGTATCAAAGCTCATCAAGGTTTGCTCAATGTGACCATTTATGCATTCCCTGGGCAATGAAGACATGTTAGCAGAACAGAATATTATTTTTTGTCTAGAAGGCTTCACTGATAAAAGCAAATGTGCCAGTTTATTAGATACTCAGTTTAATTTGTTCTAAGACTAAAACAAATTATTTAGAATGGCACAGTCAAAAATATAACTGCAAAATATAACTGTCAAACGCAATGTTCCAGAAGTACTATACGCACTGTAGAACAGATTCATTGATTTGTCTTTGACAGCCAAGAAACTTACTGTAATTTTACTACTGAAAACCCCAGCTGAAGAGTGAATCTTGAAATATATGTTAGAATGCCCCTTCTACATAGGAAAGAAACTGTGACTGTGTAAGAAACATTGACTGTGTAAATGGCTGTGTGGTATATAGTTGCCACCCAGAGTTAAGCCACAACATCTTACACTTGAGGTACATCCTCTGCTTTTACTATACTGTTGAAGTAAAGGTATCCAAGACAAAGCTTTAAATGACAGCAAGTGCATGCCTACCTTTTCCATTTTCTGGGTTACTCCTGTCTCCCATTTCATGACGCAAAACACCAATTGCTTAATAAGAACCTGAGCTCTTACCATCATCTTGATGAATTCTCCTGAGGTAGTCAGCCATCAGACTTGCAAGTGGTCTTTTGTGAGGCAAACCCAGACGATGAGGAAACACTACTGATGTGTCCACTACCGTGTCATGAATTAGCTGGAAAAACAGTAGAGGCCACAGTAATAACTAAACATCCAGTTGGAGTCTTGCATCTCCTTTATTTATTTATTTATTAAAGAAATCCCACCTGGCATCTAAACGATTTCCTTTCTCAATGAGATACCCAAACTAATTCTTGAGGCCCAAATATTATCTGTCCTGTGTTCCTCTATTCATTATAGAAGAGCAATCCCCAGAGCAAAAACTGCGGAAATATTATACTTCACAGTGATTTCTGTACACTGCACTGACACTTACACAATAGCTGTATATATACAGTGAACATGGTGACTTCTGTTTTTAGATAGACAATACCATACTGCAAAGTTTCATTTGCTTTGGCCTTTAGGTATCATCAGTGTAGAAGCCCAAACTAAATTCTAATTCCTTCATTAGTAATAATCACAGAATGGTTGAGGTTGGAAGGGACCTCTGGAAGTCATCTTGTCCAAACTCCCTACTCACACAGCACCACTAGGTTGCCCAGGACCATGTCTAGTCAGCTTTTGAGCATCCCCAAGATCAAAGACTCCACAATGTCTCTGGACAACCTGTACCAGTGCTTGGTACCCTCACAGTGAAACATTGTTTTCTGATGTTCAGAGGGGACCCCGTATGCTTCAGTTTATGCCCATAGCCTCTGGTCCTGTCACTGCACACCACTGAAAAGCGCCTTGCTCAGTTTTGTTCATACCCTCCCTTCAGGTATGTACATTGATAAGATCCCCCCAAACCTTCCTGAGAAGATGGCTATGTTTCTTATGGAATATTGCTGCCTTTGATATTTAATAGTATAATCCATGCATTTCTGGTACCTATGGTAATTACCTGGCAGGCAGCATAATTGTTTTCAGAGATTCTAAAAGCAATACCTTAGCATTTCTTGAATTGTCACTGCCTTTTATGCATTTACCGGCATGAGTTCAGCAAGATCAGGACACATACATTCTAGGGTTCTGTGAACCCAGAGATAAAGACACTGTTATTCAGTGGTGATGTATGGCTGCATAGCCGGAAGGGCAAAACAGCAAAATAGAAAACCCAAATGTCAGAATCTTCACCATATTTGTTTGCATAAACATCTCTTCCTTCTCCAAATGTAGTATTATCTTTAATACAGCTATCATTTAACAATCAAGTACATTTAATTCTTTCTTTTCATCCATGTTGATCTGCTGAAATGCAACATTCTTTTCCTTTTTGAAATTACTTAGAACACAGTAAAGCAGTCACCTCTTAAACTGGCTTTAAAAATGTTATTTTACCTTGAGAGTGAATAAGCCATTTTCTAAACTGTGTCCAATCACAATTGTATCTGCACTGAACAAGTTTAGCAGTACTGCCTGTACATCCCGAAGAGATGTTGTGGTATTCTTCAGATCATCCTCTCTTGCTCCAGAGAGCCTAAAGACAGATTTAGAAGAGCCTCATTAACAGAGACACTGAGAAATACGTAGAAGAACAAAGTTTACAGTGGTCATTCCCCCAGCATCTGCAGTTAACACTAATCAACTTTGAAATCACACAGTGTTGAAGTCAACATAAGGCATTTTTTCATTTTCTTCCTTTTCACCTAGGTAGTGCAAGACAAACTAAGATAAGTGATCTTAACTTAGCTCTACCACTACAAGCAACTGAGGCCGTTTTTTGAGCATGGACAAAAGACAAGGCTCTGAGCAATGAATGTTGAATTAGTAGGAATACATTATGTTGTTTCTCATCTAACTTTTTTTACAGCGAGGCTCAAAACCTGTGTTTCGTCTCACAGCACTTGCAGGACTTTAAAAAAAAACTAACAGGAATTGAAAACATGTCTTCCAGCTCTCAAAGACCAAACCCAATAGGAAGACCAAATACAAGCTATCTGCACTAAATACAGTACAGCTTAACAAGAGCTGGCTATCTGATGGCCTCAAAAGCAGTACAGTCAATTGATGCGTTATCTGAGACATTTATAGACGAAATTTGCATTTGCCTCTATCCCCTTAGAGAATTTAGCAAGTTCTGGGAGGTTTAGTTTAATTTTGGGGTTCTTTTAAAGGAAGGGGAGAAGAAGTCTTCAAATGTGGGAAAAAATAAATTGAATTAGGCAAAGAGAAAAATACTTCTTAATTGAGCCTTTAAGAACAAAAGAAATAGACATTTGAGAGGTATGTTTCTTCTTATATAGTTATCTGCCAATTTCTTATCTAATCCTGAAGGACTATAGACTAATTAGCATACCTTATATCGTAGTCTAGAACTTTACCATCTGGTTTAACAAATGTATCATAGACAACCTGTAGCTTAGCATCAACCACTGTCACTCTAGTTAGTTCCAAGCCGTGGGTTGTGTAACACTGAAGAAAAAAGTAAATTTAACAAGCATTTACACAGCAATGATGTTGCCTTACATTATGTAAGTTGTACAGAAAGCAGAACTGGCTACCAACTCAGCAAATCCAAATTACTTTGCTTACTGCATTTTCCACACTAAAGGTCTAGTCATGTAGAGTAACTAGACTGAAGGTCTAGTCGTGTATAGTTACTAGTCAGAGCTCTGCAGACCTCTGAGACATGAACTCCAAACTACTACAGCTAGGAAATGGTTTCATAAACAGAAAATCAGTTTTCTATTAACTGAACCAAACTTTTCAGGTGGCTCATACCGTCTCGCAGTCCAAAGCATATACACCATAGTTTCCATCAAAAGGTGGTGATTTGGTTAATGTCTTCATGAAGCCTTCCAACTTGTTGCTTCTTCCATCATGAACATGAAGCTGCAAGGTTTGCATTAGTACTTAAGTGCAAGTTTGCTAGACATATCTTACCCAAATTGCCAGACAATTTGTTTCTCTAACAGATTCAGGAGCATATATAATACTTCTTACCAATAATTCTTGCCACATAATTTACTAAATAGTATAAATAAACTTAAAAGGCTTATACCAGACCATTCACAGAAAGCTATGACCCAGCTTTAACTCAAAAGGACACAGAAAGCAAAACTGAGACACCGCATTAGACAAACCTTCTGAAAACATTATTTCTACCTTTGCAGTCTGACATCCGGAAGACCCAACTATTCTCTCACAACATCTATAGCGTTTTTCCATGCCACCAGGAACTGCCAAAAAGAAAAGTTGAAAATTGAGCAGTTTTTGCAGCAACTAGCAATGGCACAAACAAATCAGAACCCTGACTCCTCTCAAATTTCTTTTCCATTTTCTCCTAAGACTGCACTATGGTAAGAAACAAGTCCCACCTATGCAAGATGACATACTGTACATCATCTCCTTCTGAAACAATGTTTTCATCAAAAAAAAAAAAAAAAAAGAATTGCCAATGAATAGGAAAAATAGGAAAGAGAAACTTGTAGTATGGTTGAGAAGGTTCCTCCTGAGGGAAATATTTAATCTAGTTTCTGAGTATTTAAGTATGTCTGGGAAAAGATGACAAAGTTCACTTACAAGTCAGTGCAAGATCACACAATGAACATTTTTCTAGCTTCTTCCCACACGGTTTTACTAACATCAGCTTTCCTAAAGTTGTGACATATTCAGAGAAAACAGACTTTACTAACTAGCCACATTCCCAAAAGTACAGCAGAATGTATCTCAGCTGAACCTTGTACAAAAAAGTCAAAAGTGAACAAGATCAGTGTATGAAACATGAGACACACTTTTTAACAGCTTCTGCAAAGACTGAATGCCAAGGCTACCCACCTCTTTGTTCCAACACTCTACCAGAATGATAGTTGCATTCTTCTTTACGTCTATGTTCTCCTGAAGATGTAACACTGTATACCTCACCACATCTACAGCACACTCTTTTGAAAGCTAAAAAAAAATAAAAAAAATAAAACCAGAGCATATTTCCTAGCTGGCTTGCCATTAAGTTAAAAAATGCTGAATTGAAATATAAGTTATATGAACAGTAATTGTGAAAGCAGATTATCAATACATAAGCAGCCTCCCAAATTAGCCATGTATAAAAATACCTCACCAAACTAGTTCCTCTATAGGACAATAATAAATTGAAGTTTACCAGCAACTTTTTCAATTACTATGTTGAAACAAAAATGAAAAGAGCTATGAAGCCTCACGGTTTAGTTGAAAAGCTTGGGAATTCACTGGTAGGCCAGGCACTAAATACAGAACACTGCTGTAATGTATAATTTTATACCTGCTCATTTTTTTGTTCTGTGAACCACTGACTGAACTTCAATTTTGTTGCAAGCCTACGAGGCACTTACCATCATATACAGCATTTTTTACAATCCCAGTAAGTATAGCACTACCGTTTTTTTCAGGATTCGGTCGGGGGAAGTTATTTTCATTCAATTGTTCCTCAGTCAGAAGATAATCTTTTAAAAGTTCATATAGAGCACCATCTGTAAAAGCTAAAAAACCCACAACCAAATGTTATAAGTAAACCCAAAGCCTAAGCAGTATTAGAACAAATATAAATAGCACTTAAATTTCCTAGTACTTCCAAAGTAAAATGAAACTGAAATGACAAAGGTGCATTATGACATGCAACCACTACACGCTTCTACCTCAGAGCAATTAGAAGTGAATAGAGATGAAGTATTATTCAAAACAAAGACACTAAACAATAGGGAAGTTAATTCACTAGCTACCACAGAAAGGCTAGGCATGCAATATTAAAGAACACACTCTTTTCAAACAAGTTCAACATTTTTCCCCTAAAAATGAGCCTTCAGATGTAAATAAGGAATTGTGCTGGAAAGCCTTGCAGTGGCTAATAGATAAAGCTTGACCAAAACCAGAGCACTATTTTCATGCTGATATAAGCCCATTTACAAGCTTAAGTGAAGAACTGTCATCTCTCTTCCCCCTTTCTTTACCTTTCTCTTGCTCTGACTCAGTGCCACTGGATGACCTGCTGTTACCAGGTTGTCCTGGATGCGGGAAAAAAAATTTTTATCATTTCTTCTCAATTTTAGGTTTCCTATTAATATCCTAAGCAAATACTAATAAATGAAAACACCAATTTATTTCAGTGACATATGGCACTGACATATTCAGTGACAGTGATTTAAACCTACAGAAATATCTTTAGTAAAGTTAAACTAAATAATCCTTTTGAGATGTTTCTTTGATGCTCTAATTTCTACGTTTACAATCCACTTAGAAAAAAAGTCTTAATAGAAAGCAAAAGTACCATGATCTCTCAGCTTTTTGAGAGTCTTCACAGCAAAATTCAGGTACATTTTTTTACTGCCACAATGTTCATAAACAGATTGCTCTTCCAGCAGGGCCTATATTTAAAAGAAAGAAAAGAAATTGAGTGTTAGCAGAGAACTGTATGTTCTACAAAAAGCACTGCCATTTAGAATCTGAGATCCTGAACTTAGAGCTAGATGCACATACTGTCCTAAATCTGAAGTGCAACAGGAGACACAGAAACAGTAGTCAAATTCTGTAGTTATGAAGCAAAGATCTGTGAGCCAAATCAGTGCTCCAACTCAGAATTCAAAACTAATCCAGGAAGTTGAACACTCTTAGGGTAACTGTTCCTGTGGCTACAGACAGCATCTTCTGATCCTGCTTTCAAAGGAGGCATTATTGCTTTTTTTTGGACAATAACTGTTTCCTTCATTTTCTTTCTGTAATGTCATAAGAAACAAGTGAAAGGAAGATGCAGCACCTTTTAACCACAAAGAAGCACACTCAGAACAAGGAGTACATTAATTAATCTTCTGGGGGAAGAAAAATACTTCTTCCCTGGTTTTATTTCACTGTCTACACTATCTATGTAGTCAACAAAAGAAGCTCATTTCAGGCATGAACAGTGCCTTCTAACAATGACTACAGCAATTACAATTCACAGGCTTGAACCTCTAAGCAGACAAAAAGCGAAAGTGGAGAACTGATGAAGGTGAGAAATAACACAGGTGGACATTAAAGGGAAGCTAAATGAAACATTCCTTAATGAGAATGAAGAGTCAGGCATACCAAGTTATGCTGCATAATAGCGAGAACACACTGCAAATGGCAGAATAGTAACATTTGATAGATCTACAAGCTTTCATTCAATGTATAATTAAATACACATACAGAGCCTTATCAGAACACCTCCGAAGTCTTTTGATTTCCAGCACGCAAGAAATTTAGATCATCTGAAGGTTAGGCTCTGGATATTTGTGCCTGACAGGCCGTGTCTGTTGGCTTTAAGCTTGAGTAGCACTTGGTGCGGTATAAATGATAAGTACAAGATCAAAAGCTCAAAATGATTGATGGATTTACAATTGTTCTTCAAACATGGTTTCCTCCCGTCCTAAACACATCTCAAAGTCCTTATTATATTCCAGAAAGCCTCCAGTATTCACAAGAAAAAAATTTTTTTGCATTGGCAAAAGAAAAGCTTTTCCTTTTTAATAATAAAATAACATGTCTTTAGCACTGCTGATTAGCTTCCAAAAAGACAAATGTTTTTACTTGGAGAAGACCGAAAGTGAAAACACTGGAAAGTACAAGATTGACTACATTTTAACTTCTGCTTACTGAAAATCTGAAATATTTGCCTTAAAAAAAAAAATCCACCAAAACTTTGTGCAAGATAAGATCTGTTGACTTAATTCAGAAGAGGAAACTTACAGATCTATAAAACATTACAAACCTTGTGAATAGCTTCATTCACTGTGCTACAAGTCTTGAGGCATTCTGCAAAAAAACAATTGACATATCGCTGTCTTGTCTCAAATGGTACTTTGGATCCTGATTCTGGAACAGAAGGCCTTTTCCGAGTAGAAACCTTAAAAAAACAAACCATACACCCCACCCCACGATATTAATGTGGTCAATATGTAACAAACATTAAGACATTCTTTTGCCCATCCTCAGAGAAAAAAAAAAAAATATATAAAATCAAACGTTGCTTAATAGCTAGTCAGAAAACTGGAGTTGCACATGACAGGGAGCCAGAAACAACCATCAGAAATAGCAGCTATAGAAGTTTTCTCTGCTTGAGCTAAACAAAGTAGTCTTCTGCTCAAAAAATATCTTTATTACCTCACAGAACTTTAACTTATTTTTTCTTACAGAAAATTCTGTCCTTCAGCAAGCACTGGCAGTTCAGTCATGATTTAACTTACACTTTCTTTCTGGCCTTTATTTCAGGCAGTACTTCACCCACAGCATAAACTAAAAACCGAATGAACTAGACAGAAAAAAATTAGTTTAGTTTTAGGAACCCGTAGCCTCTGCTAGAAAATGCAATATAGTTTTTGCTTATCACAATATGCTTATAACCAATGAACAAGTATGACTTAACTGAAAACAAACTAACAATTCTTCCATCACAACCAGTTCAATTAACAATTTACATATTAAATTGCTTACTTTCGTGTAGTGCTGGCTAGTACAACCAAGGAGAATGAAAATACAACTTGCATAGCAGCTTTATTAAAGCACACAGGAAAAAAGTATTTTTTTAAAAAAGCTATACTGGTGTGTATATATATGTGTGTGTATATACTGGTGATTCTGTGATACCACATTATTAGATCGACATTATGAAAAACGGTTTGAAATCAATCGTAGTTTTTCCACTTGTGTTCCCATTCACAGATCCAAGTTTTGCAGCAGTAACTCTACAGTACCTTGCATGGGGCAGGAGTAGTCTTTTGGAATGAACTAACAGAAAGTTCACAGGGTATTCCTGCTACAACATTTCCCTCCAGTAGTATAGGCAGTTGACCACTGCTGGTCTCAACAGGCTGAACTTCAAGCAAATTCACAGAGGCTGAAACACACAGAAAATACAGACTCAATCTAATTCCTAATGGCAAGCTTTATTATTTAAATTACATTAATCTGGAACGCAGGTATTTCACAGCTCCTTTGTTAAAGCCGGTTAAAAGTAAAATTTTTTAAGATTTTCAAATCACAAGATTTAACAAATTGTTTCAGCAGGTCTGGATGCTTCATATCAGAAACATAACAGCTGATATCAATACTAAAAGGAAACTCGCCAGATTTCTTTTTTATTCTTTCAACTCATGTATCAAAAGACTTACACCAAAACAAATGTTTTTCAGGATTTTGGTCAAAACGGTACATGTTCAAAGAACATAGCACAAAATATACTACAGCTACCAAGACTTCAGATATAAACTTGTAGTTTGACAAGGCATCTATCTGCACATGCTAAGGGCTCACCATCATTCAACTCACAACTCACATTCACCACAAGAACAGGAGTAAATTCAAGCAATGCCTAACCAAAGCAAAACAAAGTCAAAACATCTAAAGGGTGGGTGTCAAGAGGATGGGGCCAGACTCTTCTCTGTGGTGCCCAGCAATAGGACAAGGGGCAACAGGCACAAACTGAAACACATGAAATTCCATCTCAACATGAGGATAAACGTCTTTACTTTGAGGGTGCCAGAGCACTGGAACAGGCTGCTCAGGGATGTTGTGGAGTCTCCTTCTCTGGAGATATTCAAAACCCACCTAGATGCATTCCTGTCCAGCCTGCTCTGGGTGACCCTGCTTTGGCAGGGGGGGTGGACTAAATGATCTCCAAAGGTCTCTTCCAACCCCTACCATTCTGTGATTCTGGGAAACCTACGGATCAAGCTGTCATACCCAGTGGTCCAGTGCTTTGAAATGGAGCAGCTGACATTCCAGATGTAGTCTTCTGCTGTTCAGAAGTTGTAATAATAAAACCTTGTCCCCTTTTAACTGCAGCTACAAACTCCATTGCCTCCCAGCGTTCCTGCAGAATTTCTGCATCATGACCCTGCTGCCAAGGAGGCGCTTTGAAAGGCACCATTTCATTTTTATGTACCTGATAAGCACAGACACAAATCTAGAGTTAATTTCAAGCAGTTCCAAATCATGGCAAGATAGTGTTAAAGTCTACACACTGCCTCTTAAAACTGAATTTTATTACCAGATTCAGAGCTCAGCATGCTGTCCCTGGAAGGAAAATACCAAACTGAAAGAGCTCAAGGGTGGTAAAGGGGTCTTAGAGAATTATGCCTGCTATTAACATTTCCACATAAAGCACTGTAAAAGCTGCAAAAGCAACAGCCACTTTGCCTTCCAAGTGGCTTCCAACTTGGATTTCCAAGTACTGTATCTGTAATCTCATGGTACATGACTTGATACTAATCTGATTTTTCAATACTCATTAGCCTCAACTGTCCTAGGCAGAAGCTTATTTCACGTGCATCAGGAACCAACTCCAAGTATTAGGATATTTGCTACAACTTTTAACAAAAGAGTTGATAAAGACTTTTGTTCTTATTCATTTCAAAGTAATTCTATAGTTATATTACAAGACTCAGCCAACCTGAAGTTCAACACGAGTCTACAGACATTAAGTAAAGTTGGGTTGACCTTCAGTTTATTACAAGATTGTAACTCACATCAAATTTTGCCGTGTGTGCAATTCTCCTCTTTTGTCCAGGAGCATTTGCTTTGGTTTCTGATAAATTAAGATCTGCATCTCCTCCACGGGCCTATTAAAAACAAGAACAGACTCTTTGGACCAACTGTTACGAAGTTCTAGACTTCAGTAATACTCATGATCCATTCATTCCAGTGCTTCAGGATGTTCAATAAAAAACCTCACCAGGAAAATTACAGTTCCATCAGCATTAGACAGTTATTTTACAGTCAGAACAGTTAAGCCACAGTGCTTTGAAGCAGAGGCAGTGGTACTCAAAGTTCCTACATTTGTTTATAAGAAAAAGACTACTGAATACACAACTATGTCTAAAACTTTCCTTATTGCAGCAAAAGTAAAAATGGCTACCCCTAGGCAAGGAGATATTCGGAGCAATTTTCTACTTCAGGAAACATGCAGATCACCCATTGTCAAACTAGACTACAGAATCCTAAGTGTTCCTTATGACTTTACTAGCATTGAAGGCCCAAATACTTAACTTTTACTAACACACATTTTGGAAAGAGTATTTGAACTTGATTCTGTATCACATCCTGCTCTCTTACGCTCACAAAAAAACCTCAAGCCCTGAAAGGGAAACAAAATACCTGCTTATCACCATCCTTCTTTTGTGCTTCTCTTTCAAACTCATCAAAAATTCTCCGACACTCCTCTACAGGATCATCTGATTCAGAGGGCTCTGTGTCCTCGCCACTGGGTTCCACTTCCTCAGCTGATGAACTCAGCAGAGTTTTTTCACTTTCTTCCTTGTTTAAGTAATAAGTTGGATATGGGTATGTATGGCTATTATTACCCCCATCCTCTTCTATGCTCTGGTGTTCCTCTGTATTAATTATTATTTCCTTATAAGGTCTTTCAATTGTAGTTTCATCTTTTGACGAGTGTCCAGTACACCAGACAGACTGTGCTACTCTTCCACTGCTCACACAATCTTCATTAGTAGTATGGTCCTGAACAAATGCTTTGACCAATATATTGGTTTCTGCATTCCCTTTCTTCAGAATTCCCTTCTGTGTGTCTGCCTCAATAGAAGCAGCTGAAGATATATGTTTCTTCTTGCTATAAGCAAGGGCATCTCTTTCCTCCAAGACCTTCAATTTATCAGTGTTTACATCAGGCAAATAAATCTCATTTGCTTTTTGAAAAACAGTTCCCTGTTTTCCAGCTGTATTTAAAATTTTGCTATTCCTCCTCAAAGTTATAATTTGCTCTGTTTTTTCTTCTGTATGCCCAAGCATTTCTACTATGGCACTATCATGTAATTTTCCTTCACATATTACAGCAGACAGTTCTTTGTCCCTGTTCCCACTTGTGCAGTTGCTACTTATTCTTGGCTTTTTATTAACAGCTTGTGGTGGCACATCAATGACAAGACTGCATTCCTCATCAGATTCGTCAAGTTTTATTTCAATTTTCACTAGGGAAGGGCTTCTTGACCTCTTTGTGGATACACATCTACTCGTAAATGGAGACAACTTTAAAATCCCATCCTGATTTTCACATGGAACTACTTCAGTTGGCTTACACTGCTGCGTAGCACTTTCATCCTTTGTTACAGGAGAGACAGAGAGTCCTGCAAAATTATTTTGTAGAAAATTATATTAAAGAATAGTTGCTGGGCAACTATAATCAACAATGTATTTTTTTAATTAAAAAAAAAAATCAGCCATTATTTGTATACCAAGAAACAGAAACCATACGACACACATGCTAAAAAATGCAGTACAATGCCTTCATTAGGAGAAAATATCTTACTTTAAGATCATTTTCAAGAGTTAAAGTGTAAAGTGTTTATAACCATTTAACTGGGAAGACTGTACTGTTAGAGTTCCTTCTGTTCCTCAGTTTCATTCTTGACCGAATTTTAATTCTTCGGGGTTTTTGTAAGTCATCTGCCCTCTTAGAGGAAAGACAGCTGTGACACTAAATTAGATCAAGTCATCCTCAACTGCAATCTACAGATTTCAGCTGAGGGAAAAGAAATAATCAATTTTATTAATTATGCACAGGACTACAAGTCTCATTTTCCCCAAATACTCAGGAACATTTCAAGCCAGGCATATTTATAATTGCACACAAACTTTAAGCAGCCTTGAAAGTCAAATTTTCCAACTGCAGATTTAAGTGACTTACTCTTTTTAGCTTTTATAAGCTGTAGACTGCTTACCAAACCTCAGCCTGACACATTCTCAAAGCACTATCTCCATCCTCATATGGTTACTCTGGCAAATCACAAAATGGAGGTTATTAGCCTCCCCAAATTTTACTAATGTATACAGACCCTGTTGTCCAAGAGATCTGTTAGCATCAATTGTGTATTTTAACAATGCTATCCACATTGTCATTTAAAAACACGTGTCACCATTTGATTTCAACAGCAATTGTATCAGTAATTACAAAATATTTTGGGGAATTACTAGAGTGTCATGTTTTGTTAGTGAATGGGATCCTTTCCAGGTTGTCAAAAATAAGTAATTTTGGCATTAACACAATAGCAATACACTAGAACAGGATGTTACCACAAAGTCTCACCACCCTGTTGTTGTGCGTTAATCCTGTCCTGCAGCTGAGCCCCAGGCAGTCTCCCTCTCACTTCCCCAGTGGGATAGGGCAGAGAATCAGAAGGGTAAAACTGAGAAAACTTGTGGATTGAGAAAAAGACGGTTTAATAGGTAAAGCAAAGCTGTGAGCAAAACCAAAGCAAAATAAGGAATTAATGCACTGCTTCTCAACATCAGGCAGATGTTTAGGCACTTCCAGGAAAGCTAGGTTTCATCATGCCTAATTATTACTTGAAGTGTCTCCCCTTCCTCCTTCTTTCCCCCACTCTTATTGCCAAGCACAAGATTGTATGGTTTGGAGATTTCTTTTGGTCAGTTGGGGTCAGCTGTCCTAGCTGTTCCCAGCCTCCTGGCCACCACCAGCCCAACCGGCGGCAGGGCTGCATCAGAAATGGAGACATCCTTGAGGCTGACCAAACACTCTTCAGCATTTAATTAAAACACATCTGTGTTACCAACACTGTTCTGGTCAGAAACCCAAAACTCAGCACCATGCAGAGCTACAAAGAAAACTTACTCCATCTCAGCCAAAAACAGCACACCCCTCTACCTCAAAGAAATACTGGGAGCCACAGTGAGCTGGTAACTGTTCTTACAAAGAATCTGAGAGAGGTAATGTTTCCTAACCTTTTATACAGGTGAGATACAGCTTAAACTATGCAGCAATCCACACTATAGGGTTATTCTTTGACTATCTAGACTCTGAGCAAAGTTTCAGTGTTCAAGCTTGCTAGAAACTGCAGAAGCCATTTAATGATGGACATTGGTTGCTCGAGAGGAAACACCTACAGGCTTAGCCTTCAAGAAGTCAAACCACACTGCACAGCTAGCTACCTGCAAAACCAGCAAGCAGAAGTGTAGGAAGGGAATGGCTCCACACTGGTTTGTTTTTTTCCTGACTGCGCAAGATCTTAGCAACCACCAAATTATCCCAGTATTTTTTCCAGGCTGCAGTTCTTTATGCTCAAGCGCAAAAATCTTTGAGAAAAAAAAAAAAAACATTATAGGTAACTGTGAAAACCCAGGTATTTATTGTGGAAACAGTAACATGCAGCTCCTGCTGGACTGTACAGAAAGAGATTACATGGAGTGAAAACCTGCATGGTGACTGAAGTTTGGGCACTCCCTAGCAGTGAAAGGCAGAAAACCAGTAGCATCTGCTTAAAAAAAACAGACACAACAGAGTAAGAGACACTTTGATGGTTTCATGGACTACATACTTACCAAACAGCTGTTAAAACTATCAATGTAACCCATAGCAAAGGATGTGAGAGACCAACCCAAGTTCAGGGTAATCAGAAAGTAGCTACTTGTTTTTAACTATAAGTTTTTCAAGTCCAGTTCAGAAGCAGGTTGCTTTTTTTCATTAACAGAGGCTGTTCGTATTGCTAAGTTTTGTGGTTCCCATTTCAGTTATTTTAATACTCTGCCCTTTGCCTCTCACACCCATTGGGCTTTACTGCCAACAGTTTCATCACACTACTATTTCTGCTAATGAAATCCAGCATACAGTTGCCTGAAAACACTCAAAGAGGAACATGACAAACATCAAACAAGCTAGCTACAAATCTTATTACTCATTGTGTTGAGAAGTGAGGCACCTTCGGTGAGGCATACTAAAGTTTCATTAGAAAGTGCTGGTTATTCACCCATGTGCAAGCAGACTGACTGCAGACTGCTTATCCTGGAAGGACAGCAAGTGTCTTACAAAGACTGAAAGCAATTTATGTCACAGCTTCTGCTCTTCATATTACAAGGGCTAAAGGTCACGCACCACAAAGGAAAGACGACATCCTCCTACCAAGAAAGCAGGAAGCCACAGAACCATAGAATTGTCTAGGTTGGAAAGGACTTTTAAAATACCTCGTCTAACCATCAACCTAACTCTGAATAAGAACCCACGACTAAACCATGTCACTAAACACTACGTCAACCTGTCTTTTAAATACCTCCAGGGATGGTGAATCAACAACTTCTCTGGGCAGCCTGTTCCAATGATTAATAACCCTTTTAGTGTTAGAATTTTTCCTAATATCCAGCCTGAACCTCCCCTGGCACCATTTGAGGCCATTTCCTCTTGTCCCATCACCTCTAACTTGGTAGAAGAGACTGACCCCCACCTCTCTACACCCCCCTTTCATGGAGTTGTAGAGAGCAATAAGGTCTCCCCTCAGCCTCCTTTTCTCCAGGCTGAACAACCCCAGCTCCCTCAGCTGCTCCTCATAAGATTTATTCTCCAGACCCCTCACCAGCTTCGTTGCCCTTCTCACCAGCTTTTATTATACCACCACAAACACCAGTTTACACGCTACTCCTAGTATTGTCACGGCTGTTTGCCACAGTGGGGGTGTTGAATTAATTCTTTTTTTTCCTCCTACTCCCAAAGCAAGACCACACAGGCCTCCCCTCGTGTCATTCCACTCCCCAGCCCTCACGCACGGTACCGCAGCCCTTTTATTTAACCACCATTCCCAAAAGGCAGGAACGGCCTTCCCGCACCACCTGCCGCCTCCAACAACGGCGGGGAAGCCACAACCGCCCCAGAACCGGCGAGGCCCCGCTCCCTCAGCACGGCAGCCCCTCGCTGCTGCCCCCCACCCACCCACAGTCCCCCCCGGGGAGGGGGGAGGCCCGGCGGGATGGGACAGGCCGGGCCGGCCATCCTCACCCTGCGAAGGGCCGCCGGCGGCTGAGGGCGGCTCTTCGCGGTGCTGCCCGTAGCGGCTGCGGGGCCGCTGGGTGCTGCCGCCACCCGCTGCGCCGGCACAAGAGAAAGCCTTGAAGGAGCTGGCGGGGTTCATCGCCCACCCCACAGCCGCCCCCAACACCCCGGGGCGGCTGCTGCTGCTGCTGCTGCTGCCGCCGCCGCCACCAGCGACCGTCGCGGCTTGAGGGGAGAGCGCGGGAACCCCCCCAGACGCTATAGCGGTGGCGGTCGGCCCCGGCCCGCCCAGTGGGAGGGGAGCGGTGGGGCGGGCGCTGTGAGGGAGGGCGGGCCGGCTTGGCGGCCGGCAAGTGGATGGGGAAGGGGAAAGGATGGAAGGGAAAAGAAAAAAGGAGAAGGAGAGGGCACCCAGCCCGTGGAGCGGGGTGAAGGCCTCAGTCAGCGTTCGGGATGGCGGCGTCTCCAGCGGGCACCCGCTGAGGGAGAAGGAAGGAGGTGCCGGCGCAGCCGTGCCTGGGGCCCTCCGCGGTGAGGAGAGACAGGCTGTGGCACTGGGGGTGACACCTGCTCCTGGTGGGGGAAGTACTGTTTTGTCCTCCGGGTGGGGTGCCCCGGCTGTGGGTGTTAATTTGTGTTTATTTGTTTATAGAATCATAGAATTGCCCAGGCAGGAAGGGCCCTCCAAAGGTCATCTAGTGGGACCTCCCCACAGTCAGCAGGGACACCCCCAACTAGACCAGGTTGCCCAGGGCCTCGTCGAGCCTCTCCTTGAATATCTCCAGGGAAGGGGCCTCAACCACCTCCCTGGGCAACCTGTTCCAGTGCTCCACCACCCTCACAGTGAAGAACCCTCTCCTAACCTCCAGTCTAAATCTGCTCCCCTCCAGCTTGAAGCCATTGCCCCCTTTACTTTGATGAGGTTGTGTGAGCCGATGCAGGCGGGACGCAGGAACAACCACAAAACCATGGATTAAGGCCAAAGAACAATTTAATGTCAATATCTCATGGATCGGGGAACCTCTGAAGCAGCACCTGGGCAGAGGCAGGCAAGCAGGGGATGCAGGCACCGCAGAGCCAGAGTTCTTATTAGCAAGAGAGTCCTTGTTAGCAAGGGAGCGAGAGAGCTCCCACTTGCTGTTTGGGCCTGTGTTTCAAGGATTCCGGCAGGCAGAGTTTTCTGCTGTGCTTTGATCTCTTCAACAGCAGGGCAAGCATCTCAGACATGTTTGATAAGGTGCCCCTGAGTCCATCCCATGCCTGTGTTATCTAAGTGCAGATATTCTACTTGTTGAGCACACAAAACCAAGCAACAATTAGTGTGATAGATGTGTTTTCCAGCACCCCACATGCGAGTCACTTGAGTGTATTTACAGTCCTCCTGCCCAGTCTTCCCTTACTTTCCCACAGAGGTGTTCTGTTTGTCTAATCAGGAGTACTTGGGTCTGGAGAGGCGGTCTGTGGGCTGTAGTGACTGGATCCCCATCATCTGGAACCAGCAGCATGGCTGCATCTCACCTCTGACAGCAAACGTCAGGGAGTGTTCGCTGCAAGAAAGACCTTGAGGTGCTGGAGCGTGTCCAGAGAAGGGCAATGAAGGCGGTGAAGGGTCTAGAGCACAAGTCACGGGGAGTGGCTGAGGGAGCCTGGAGAAAAGGAGGCTGAGGGGAGACCTTATCCCTCTCGACAACTACCTGAAAAGGAGGGTGTAGAGAGGTGGGGGGTTCGTCTCCTCTCCCAAGTAACAAATGATAGGACCAGAGGAAACAGCCTCAAGTAGCACCAGGGGAGGTTTAAGATGGATATTAGGAAAAAATTCATCACCAAAAGGGTTATCAAGCACTGGAACAGACTGCCCAGAGAAGTGATTGAGGCACCATCCCTGGAGGTGTTTGAAAAACATGTAGACGCGGTGCTTAGGGACATGGTTTAGCAGTGGTTTTGACAGTGTTACGTTGATGGTTGGACTAGATGATCTGAAAGATCCCTCCCAACCTAGACGATTCTATGATTCATGGATCCATCTGTCCCAGTGCTCTGCCCCCAGCAGAGTCCATGAGCCAGATGTCTAGAGAGCTGTAAAAACAGAGCAGGAGTATGCAGGTTTTCCCTAGAGTACCCTCCAGGCCTCTGCTGAGGGGGTTTGGTAAGCTTTGTATGCTGAATAGTATGCAATGGCTTGTCTAATCTACTCACTACCCACTAGAAGGATAGCCTTTCTCACATACTTTGAACCTAGCTCCTGTGCGTGTCATTACTCACTTTTAATACTGGAATGGGCACTCAATTGCTATCTGTTTTTTCCATGCTACTCAATATTTATAATTGACACTCCCCTCCCTCCAACACATACTCTTTTCCAGCCCACTTTTCTGATTGCTGTTGTAGAAGCAGTCCTGTTCTGATGATCCTAGTTGACGTACTTTAAAACTCTGGTTTTGTCTCTTGCTTTTAAGTGTAAGGGACTAGAATTGCACTCAACATTCATGATGTGAATTAACCAGGAATTTGTGGAGCAGCACCATCATGCATTGTATGCTGGTCTGTATTCTTTTCTTATTAATTCTAGTCAGCTGTGTCATCTCTACTGTCAACTCATGCAGCTGGGGTGAGCTTCAGTACTGCCCCTAAGGCAAAACTTTAACTTCATATAGTCTAGGGCAATTTCAAAACATAGCAAACACCAAAATAGTAACATGAAAAAGAATGAAGAATCTAGCTGAAAATGTGCTGCTAATGTAACTGTCCCCTTCTGGCCAGAAAAAGGAAATCTGCTCTTTTGGGTGCAAATTAAATAATAACTAAGTAGCAATATAGAAGAAAGAATGAAGCAAAATCTGGCATTGCTATCTCATATTTCTGCATTATGGGAGAAATGATTTTCAGAACTTAAGACATTATAGTTTCTTCTGTGCACAGGATCATGAAAGTTAATAAAAGGATTCCTCGGTTTTGAGCTGGCTTCAGAAGACCGTAGCCAGACAATTTTTCTAAATTGGTTGCATTGCCTTGAAGGTGACACATTTTGGCTGTCATCTGGAAATCCCGGGTTTTAGTGCCCTGCTGCTAAAAGTGTCCCTATAGACCAGTCTCTGCTTCTGATCCTGTGGGTCTCATTGCACCCTAGTTCCCAATATCGGAGTAGCGTCAACTGAAGAATTTTTGCTGCTTTCTGGGAGTGGCAAAGACAGGCAGGATATTTGAGGTTTGGAGTGGTGTGTAAAAAGCAGAGGAAATGGAAAAATTGTATTCTCTTAAGAGATCTACCAAAAGATCTTGTTTTCTCTTAAAAATACCTGCCCTGCTGTTGTTTGGGCTTGCACATTATTGTATACATACAAACAGCGTATACAGGGCATACACAAACTTTCCAAAGTGCACATGTGTTTACATAACTTTCCCAAACAATGGATATTTTTTAAAAAAGATTAGTTAATTATGGCTCAGAAAAAATCCTAATTTAAAAAGTAATTGTTCAGAGATCCATCACTACTTTGCTACTCAGTGTGTGCTGCTGCTGTTAGATTGCTGCTTCATTTCAATTAGTCATTGTGTTTCAGATGTTCCTTTTCAACTTGAGGAATAATGGGGAGCTATCTTCTGACCGTGGTTGTATCTGCTGGCACTTGATTCTGAAGCAATTAATGTTTGACTGCAAACATTTGTGATCAAATTTTAATTACACATCACTGTATTATCAGAATGTAAGGTTTATTCTATCCTGCCTGTCATGAAATTTCAAGTTACAAAAGTAATCAATCCCCAGTAATGTTTATATGAGCACAGTTGCAAATATACCAGCACCTGAGTCGCAGAGATTGTCAATCACTGTTCATGAGGTTCTATTCACTTGTGGTCTCTATTAAGTCTTCATACAAAGAAAAACTACTAAGATGATGCATGAGGAATCAGTGGGGAATCAACTATAGTGATCAGTGAGGAATCAACTCTAGAATTTATTATAGGTAATGTTTCTGATTTTTGCTTTTTCTTTTACTCTATATGTTTGATGCTCTTTTCTTTTCTCTCCCCACAGGCTGCTTTCTGCAGGTCAGGAATGAAGAATCAGGAACTCCCTTCAGAAGGTCAAAGTAAGATGCAGAAACACCTTTGTTGTTCATTGGAATTGTCCTGTGTATGCAGAAGAAAGAACCCTAAAACACAGAACAAAAATCATTACATTATTCTAACCAGAGGAATCCAGTAGAAACTTAACAGATAGCGTTGAAGACAGAAGGTAAATTACTGAACTTTTTTTTCCCCCAAGATTTGAACAGTCAAACTTATAAGGAAATATTTAGTACATAGACTCTTGGTAATGATATAATTGTCTATTCTGCAATAAATTCTACCTTCACTTTTCATTTTAAGCGTAAAAAGTAAGTGAATTAACTATATGTGTGTACAGCCTTTCTGAGGTTTTATCACATTTTTGCATAGTCTTTAATCTTATGTTTGGAGCAGTACATTGCTTTGCTATCCAAATAACGAAGCACAGCACATGACTGGAAAACTTACCATCTTTTCACTCTGTATTTGACATAAAGTATCCAGCAACTTATTAAGAGCATGAAGAAGCAGTCAAGAGCTATACATGACACAACCAGCACTACATTTACTTTACAGTCTTGTTTGGTTTCTTGGCCTGTGTTCCTCTCAGGCAAATCAGCCATGTGTGACACTGCAAGAAGAAACACACCACACCACTAGTACGCACACAGGTGATGTCCTGGACAAATCAATGCACATAGGAAGGGGTTGTAGCTATGTGATTTGCAAATAAAAATATGCACTTCTTAATTAAAGGACTAGTTCTGCGAAGACCCAAATCCATGTAGTTGTCCATGAATTGGCCCAAAGCACATCTTCCAATCCTTCTAGACAGGATTTATATCCATCATAAAGGGTAGTTCTGACAGAAGTTTAGCAGGCCCTAGGGACTGTGGAGATGCTGCTACTCTTAATTTAGTAGACTGAATTTATAGATTGTCTAATAAACTCAACTGAGTTTATTAGAACCCATTTTTTCACCTCTGAGGAGATGGTGTGACCTTAAGCAGTCATGAAACCATTGGTTCTATGTATTCCTAGTTGAATGTGTGCAAAATTCATCAAGACTGCCCTATTCTATTCTCCCAT